AGGAGGAGGGCGCAGGAGCCGGAGCGCAGGAGCCGGAGCGCAGGAGCCGGGGAGGGGATTCCTGCAGCGCCGGCTCTGTCTCCATGCGCCTATGAGTGTACGTATAATACCATTCTGTGAATCGGGCAGTTAGTCAAGAGATGGGTCTGACTAACTGCCCGATTCACAGAATGGTATTATACGTACACTGAGCTCATAGGCGCATGGAGACAGAGCCGGCGCTGCAGGAATCCCCTCCCCGGCTCCTGCGCTCCGGCTCCTGCTCCGGCTCCGGCTCCTGCGCCCTCCTCCTCCTCCTCCTCCTCCTCCTGGCACTTCCTGCAACACAGCTGCGGAGGCCGGTTGTCTCTTTAAGGCGCCTCTCTCTCCCAGCTGTGTTGCTGGGAGAGAGAGGCGCCTTAAAGAGACAACCGGCCTCCGCAGCTGTGTTGCAGGAAGTGCCAGGAGGAGGAGGAGGAGGAGGAGGAGGAGGAGGGCGCAGGAGCCGGAGCGCAGGAGCCGGAGCGCAGGAGCCGGGGAGGGGATTCCTGCAGCGCCGGCTCTGTCTCCATGCGCGTACGTATAATACCATTCTGTGAATCGGGCAGTTAGTCAAGAGATGGGATTGACTAACTGCCCGATTCACAGAATGGTATTATACGTACGCGCATGGAGACAGAGCCGGCGCTGCAGGAATCCCCTCCCCGGCTCCTGCGCTCCGGCTCCTGCGCTCCGGCTCCGGCTCCTGCGCCCTCCTCCTCCTCCTCCTCCTGGCACTTCCTGCAACACAGCTGCGGAGGACGGTTGTCTCTTTAAGGCGCCTCTCTCTCCCAGCTGTGTTGCTGCCTTAAAGAGACAACCGGCCTCCGCAGCTGTGTTGCAGGAAGTGCCAGGAGGAGGAGGAGGAGGAGGAGGAGGAGGGCGCAGGAGCCGGAGCCGGAGCGCAGGAGCCGGGGAGGGGATTCCTGCAGCGCCGGCTCTGTCTCCATGCGCCGTACGTATAATACCATTCTGTGAATCGGGCAGTTAGTCAATCGGGAGCCGGTTGCGCTCGCGCCCAACAGGCAGGGTCGGGGCTTGGCTCACTGGGTGCGCGCTCGCGCCGCCCCTTCGCCCCGCCCGCCCGCCCCATTTACGAAACGGGCGAAAGCTCGTTAAAACTGTGGGGGTTGCCGTTTCGATATTTATAAACCCTTCCGGGTTTGGAAATATGTTTTGTTGTCGTTTCGTATATGCTAAAATTAACGAATGTTTAACGAATTAACGAATTAACGAACGAAACCGCACAGGCCTAGTATCTGCTGTATAATTTCTGGTGCATTAGTAGAGGTTTTTATTGACATTGTATCAGATCTGGGTCACAGTAAGAGGCAGTGTAACTATGAGGTCAACACCATCTTTCCCAATAGTTCATGGATTGACAGAAACCTTCATTTACATGCACTGTAACCTGAAAACAATGGAGTCAAATCAGGTCAAATAGTACTTTCTACACATGACTGCTCCATGTGAACGATTTCAGAGTGTATAAGCCATCGTTCTCTGAGTTCTTGCTAAATGAAAGTCCTTGTGTAATTCATTTTTTTCAGCAGGAGTTATATCGGAAATATTCCCAGCAGATTTGTATGTATCTTTTCCGTCTATCTGTCTATCCTCTATTTCTTTACAAGATAAATGATCACACAAATACATTTGTATTCATTTGCTATCCAACAGCACTGACCTAAATCCAGGCTATCCAATAGCAGTGACCTAAATCCAGTTGTTAGTCCCCAGTAAAGTATACCTATTAAACCAATGCTATTTATTTAACTATCGACTTACCAAATTTACACTGATTTAATAGGCCTGTGCCTATTAACAACAAATGTACTAACAAATTGATGTAATTTTTGTTGTTGCTACTTTCCTATTCATTACTGGAGTGGTACAGAAAGGCTGGGTGACTATAGCCATTTTTTAGGAACAATCTTCTCCCCAAGGCAAAAGGGGAAGGGGGAGGAAGTGGGTGAAAAAAAAAAGAATATTGCACTGTGTGTCCCCGTGCATCTAAAAGGTAAGCTGCTGATCCCCAACATTTCCAGAAAATACTCTTTACTCTTTCTCATGGCCACATCTGGAGAGTCAAGAAAGGTGAAGGGATGCAACATTAGTCCTAGGGAGTTGTGTAATTACAAATGCGTTCTTTTGATGTCTTTATTGAGAATGTCTGAAAGATCATTCATGCAAATATGTTATGCTGTGCAATGGCCACAGACAATTTCATACCAGCAGCATGAATGCCACTGAACAGATAGATCCCAAATAATACCCACCAGCCCAAATAATTTAAGAAGGCATGTTACTTACAAAACAGCCTGCCAATTTAATACAGTTTAAAATATGTCAGCATTTTGTGTTACCTGAAAAATACATTTAAAATATTTGCTATAAAATACAATATAAAACTATCAGAAATTATTTCTTCCACTCTTGAGTTACCTCCTTAGTTCTTTAAGTTAACATATTCACAAACTAAATTTAAAAAACCCAAGCAGGGATACCTTTGTTAACAAAGCCTCACACAAAGCTGCTTCCTTTTATAAAGATTTTTTTTATCAGAGCCCAGCCCAGCATTCCGTTTCTTGCCTTCTGTCTGGGTGGAAGTTCTTTGTTTTTGTGCTGAAACATGTTCAACAAGTCTTTTTTGTGGCATAGATACTTTTTACATGTTATTTCTACTTCTGGTTCCAAAGTTTCTCTTAAAGAAGTAAATCCTAGGAAAACATCTCCATCGTTAACTGAGATATACCCATGTTGCACCATTACGTCAGATTAAATTATTATATAGAGCAATTTAAAACACTGGTCAATAAATATGGGTGTATTCAGACATTTGGAGAACAGGCCAATACGGAATTTGACTTCAACCATTTGGACAATGACTATGGACTAATTACGAATTATTAACCCAAGACTTGGCACTTTATACTTTAAATATGTTATATGTTTTAAACAGTTTCATTGTCTAATGTGTTTATTTGCTAATATGCTTTCATTGCTTTATAGCTGATAGGGTATGTTTTATGATTATATTGGTTTTTATTGTAATATGTGCCCCTGGTGGCGCAGTTAAACCACTGAGCTGCTGAGCTTGTTGACCAAAAGGTCGCAGGTTCGAATCCAGGGAGCAGTGTGAGCTTCCACTGTCAGCCCCAGCTTCTGCAAACCTAGCAGTTTGAAAACATGCAAATGTGAGTAGGTCGACAGGTACCGCTCCAGGAGGAAGGTAATGGTGCTCCATGCAGTCATGACCTTGAAGTTGTCTACGGACAATGTCGGCTCTTCGGCTTAGAAATGGAGATGAGCACCAACCCTCAGAGCTGGACACATCTGGACTTAATGTCAGGGGACAACCTTTACCTTTTTATTGTAATATGTATGTTACGGCATTGAATTTTTGCCAGATTATGTAAGCCGCACACAGACACTTTGCAGCCTGCCACTGTAGAAAGAGTACATAGGCCAAGAAAGTGGGGAAGTCTGACTTGGCCACGGTGGTACACGCTCTGGTCACATCCCGCCTTGATTACTGCAACGCTCTCTACGTGGGGCTGCCCTTGAAGACGGCCCGGAAGCTTCAGCTAGTCCAGCGCGCGGCAGCCATGTTATTAACAGGAGCGGGACGCAGGGAGCACACAACGCCCTTGTTGTTCCAGCTCCACTGGCTGCCGATCTGCTACCGGGCCCAATTTAAGGTGCTGGTGTTGGCCTACAAAGCCCTAAACGGTTCCGGCCCAAAATACCTTTCTGACCGCATCTCGGCCTATGAGCCCACGAGGGCCTTGAGATCATCTGGGGAGGCCCTTCTCTCGATCCCGCCTGCCTCACAGGCACGTTTGGTGGGGACGAGAGATAGGGCCTTCTCGGTGGTGGCACCCCGGCTATGGAGCACCCTCCCGGTGGACATCAGACAGGCGCCCTCCCTTATGTCATTCCGCAAGAGTCTAAAGACTTGGTTATTCGAGCAGGCGTTTAACTAAATGCTATAATAAGCGGCAATGATAACTGGAACGGAATATGGAATACGAGATTGGTTTATGATCCTACGATGAGACGACACGGATGATTTAGAGTAATTATATTATTGTGGTATTATCGATGGTTATGTGTATATTTCGTTTGTATGAGGGTTTTATTGTAAACTGTTTATATGTTGTACACCGCCGTGAGTCGCCCGAAAGGGCTGAGAACGGCGGTCAACAAATGCAATAAATAAATAAATAAATAAATAAATAGCTCCCTGATAAATACAAGAATTTGGGGGATATGATTGTTGCAACTGAAGTGTTACGCTTGTCCTTGTTAGCTATATATGATTCAATTTTCACAGAAAACCCTATGAAGTATGGATATGTAGGGAGAACATTAAGCAGTAAAGAAGTACTAATAACTATTTACTAGGCAAAAAACCTGAGGCAGCATTGAGTAGGCACTGACTCTGATGAGAAGCAAAGAATGAGGATGACACAGCCAATTCCCTGACTTTCTATGTGTGACTCTTTAAAGCATGGGCAGGCTTTACACAGGAGTCAGGAGCCAATTCTTACCAAACTGCCCCATGGGCCGCACCAATAGTGCTCTACTGTCCTCAGAATCTTTTAGAAATGGTGAAACGTTGAGGATTCCAATGAAAATAGACAGATTAGGGATACTTTCCTAGCCTTTGGAAACTTTCTGAACATCGTTCAGGCAAAAATGCCCTCAAATTGTGCTGAAACTTTTTTTAAAAAGCAGTTGGGGGGGGGGGGGCTTCGGAGGTTGCAAAAATGAGATTTGATGGCTGGAAGGAAGGAAGGAAGGAAGGAAATGATCCAACTTTCCGATAGCCCATACTTATACTGGTTGTAATTATTAAACTGTGCCACTAAAGAAGTTGCCAACAGTAATTTCTGGGGATAAATGTGTGTGGGGGTGGGTGGGGTGGGGAGCTTAATTAGAACAAAGTGTGTGAGAAAAGAATAAATAGAAACACACACAGCTAGCTTCACATTTTTAATTGGGAGATCTGTTTATGGACGATCTGTGATATGGGTTTTCTGGCCTACAGTTTGCTAATTTTTCATGCAGAAACGAAGAATTCGCATGACATTTAAAGCTATAATAAAAATTTGCATTTCCTGTTTTATTAATAATTTAGGGTAATCAGGCATACAAAAATAAATTTATTTTATTTTTCTAATAATTAATTTGCCTTAAGCTATAAACATACCAAAGCATTTTAAAATAACAATCAGCAGATTTTAAAAATAATTTTAGAACAACTGTAGAAAACAAACTGAACTCAAAATCCATCAGTAATACCGGTTTTGAAGTCTGGATCAATTTAGCCATTTGCTTGCATGTGAAACGCCTGTTTCTTCAGAGACACAACTGCATAGCATCTGGGGGATTTTATGGGATCAAAAAGCTTTACCAGTCCAGACCAGGCAATGTTGTCCTGTAAAATGATATTTGATGAGACTATATCAAGAAGACATTTGACTTTGAAAGCTCATATATAGCAACACATTCATATTTAAAACATTACACAAATTCTGTAAGTTACGTGCCAACTACGAACAACAGTTAATCTCCCAGTATCTTTCCCAGGCACTTTTAGTGCTAATAACAACAGTTTTAAATGCTTTGCTTTTAAAAAGACCTTTATCTTATCTTGACCATTTCCTTGTGAATTCACAATCCACATGAAGAATTTCTATTTCATCCTTGTTAATCTATCAGTCCAAGAACTTACCAGATGTCTACAGAAGTGAAACACTTTTCTCATTGGCCAGCTTTACAAGCTCTTGTTGGGTTACTATCAGGAGCTAGTGTGTGTGTGTCTGAGAAATCCATAAGTATAAGTAGTTCACAGTAGCAATTTCTATGAACAAGGTAGGAAGGTATATGTTTGATTAATGCATTAAAAGTGTATTATTTCATTTGTTTTCTGAAACTCTAGCTGTGCAAGTATATGACAAAAATGACCGTAAGATTTTTGGGGTATTAACAAATGTACTTTTCCATTTTTTTATTGATTAATTAATAGTTTAATGACTGGAAGTGTCATTTTGTATTTCTACATCAAGTAAAAAGCATCTTGTGCCATCTCTAAAATGAGGATATCAGACTAAATGTAATTCTTATTCCAGCAAAAATAGACCCACTGAAACAGTGAAATTTAACAACAACAACAACAACAACAACAACAACAACAATAGGAGCCCCATGTGGCGCAGCAGGTTAAACCGCTGAGCTTGCTGACTGAAAGGTTGGTGGTTCGAATCCTGGGAGTGGAGTGTGCTCCTGCTGTTAGCCCCAGCTGTTAGCCCCTAGCAGTTCAAAAACACGCAAATGTGAGGTCAATAGGTACCACTTCGGCGGGAAGGTAACGGCATTCTATTCAGTCATGCTGGCCACATGACTTTGGAGGTGTCTATGGACAATGCCAGCTCTTCAGCTTAGAAATGGAGAAGAGCACCGCCCTCCAGAGTTGGACATGACTAGGCTCAATGTCAAGGGGAAATCTTTACCTAACAACAACAACAACAACAACAACAACTTTATTTATACCCCACCGCCATCTCCCAAAGGGATTCAGGGCGGCTTGCAAAGTAGCGCACAATGGTGCTACACAACACATAAAATACAATACAAAAACATTTATAAAATCAATGACCAGTTCCAATTCCAAGACGTGTATCAGAAAAATAACACTGAATTGTTTTAATGATATCACAGTCAGATATCTGAGCAGTCATGGTGAACATATCACTGAATGACAAATTTAGTAAAGACAAAGTGTTAAACACGATCGGATTGGTCCCTTTTTCTTCTTAAAAATCTTGAATATTGCTGTGAAATGCCAGCAGTAGAAAATGTTTTGTATTGCGTGGGATTTCTGGCTCACAGGTCCGCCTGTGTTGCACTTAGTAAGTTTTTTAAAAAACCAAAATGTTAGAAGAAGAATCAGAATTCTGGGTCTGCTCACAAATCCTGTATCTTATGGAAAAGGTCCCTGGCACTGTAGGTATAATTTAAAACTTGTTGGCTCTTGAGGAAAAAGCTACATCATTATTTAGATATCTCAACAGTCTCTCTAAAAATAGCCACTAAAAGCAAAAGCATACTTTTATTAGAAATCAGTTGTTCCAAGTAGTACACTGTAGACTAAATTAAAAAAAATTAAAATCCTAGGATAAAAATCTTCAAAGGACTTGTTCATGGGGAAAAAAGCCCAGAGCAGTTCACATGGATGTATTCCTAATACAAAAAAGATTGCAAAACATCAACCACAGTCCAAAGTTAGGGCTATAAAAGCATAGTGCCCATGTATAGATATATGCTCACATGCACGTGTGCATGGAAACACAAACAAAAACAAAACCTCTTATTAATACAAAACAGTCTTCATTGTTCATCCCTTCTTTTTATTATGTGCAAAATGTTCAGCCTTCCTACCTAAACTTCACTGCACATCTAAAATGCAAGCACTATTTACAGGTGATCCAGGTTGAAGAATGAGAAAAATGGATTTACTACTAATGTGATAATGCCTAACCATTGGTCGTGTTTAAACCATCAACAGATCATATTAAGAAGCAACATTTTAGCCCATGGGATGACAGCTACTTTGTTCCTTGCTTTGGGCCAGCTGAAAATAAACCCAGTGAAGTTTTTCACTAACCATTGTTTTCTGAACCAGAAAACTATAGCTTCTAACTTCAGAAGAAGTCATCATATTAAATATTTGGCTTGTTTAGAAGCCACTAACTAGAGCCACTTGGACAAATGAAAAACTACACTTAATGAAAGGCTTCTTGGTTTGTGCAAAGGGAAGAGTGAAGCAGCTGCTTGCATCTGTAAGTGCTTCTTCATCCATACAATGAGCAGGCAATTCCTGAGTTACAAACATTTGATTGTGATATAATTCCAAAATATAAACGGAGGTAAGACAATAGCAACAAGAGGAAATTTACCCTTAGGAAGGGAAATTCACTCCTGTAAGATTTGTCATGGGGAAAAGGTATCTCCATGGAAGCTTTATCACCAATCCTTGTTTCCAGAACAAGCCAACATTTTCAAAATCCAATTGTCACAGGGAACTGGGATACAGGCAGCAAAACAAACATTACAGGACTGTACAAGTGATTGGGACATGTGAGAAAAGCTTTGTATTTCCATATAACAACTGGAAATCTCCCCTGTTCATAGTAAGTGCCCCCGATGGCGCAATGGGTTAAATCTTATGCCAGAAGAACTGCTGACTAAAAAGTTAGTGGTTCAAATCCAGGGAGAGCAGGTTGAGCTCCCTCTGTCAGCTCCAGCTCCCCATGCGGGGACATGAGAGAAGTCTCCCGCAAGGATGGCAAAACATCAAACATCCAGGCATCCCCTGGCCAACATCCTTGCAGACGCACAATTCTCTCACACCAGAAGCAACTTGCCGTTTCTCAAGTTGCCCCTGACACGAAAAAAAGTATTAAAGTAGAAAGACTGCAAGAACAGATGGCATTGATCTCCATAGTTAGGATTCTCCTGCATGTATCTAGAGTGAACATTGTCTCCACTTCCATGGAGAGCTCCATTAGAGTACAACAACCATCTGTTTTCATAACAAAGATAAAAGATTCTAGAAACAGTTTTCCTTCTCTTCCCCAAACAAATCAGCTCTCAATTATTCTTCCTTCACAAGAGCACAAACAAAAAGAATGCTTCCTTTGCCCCTTTATTTTTGGGGTGGAAAAGAACAGAATGAAAGAAACAAAGTGCAAGTGAGGCTTGACAAAGGAGAAATGCTAAAAAAGGCAGAGACATAAAGAAGAACAAGTAGGCATGTGAAGTTTTGGTCCTGCCTCATAACTTCCCCTAGTCAATTAAGGCATAAAAACAAAACAAAACAAAGCAACTGCCTACAAAGAGAATGAAGTGGCAGTAGTTTCTTTCCTAGGAAGAAATAAATTCTCAATGTAAGGGCTATATGTGGGGGCTACAAAGGGTTGTTTTTTTAAGCAATTTCTGCTGAATTCCAAGAAAAGGCCAGTGCTGGGGGAACAGAGATGGAAAGGGGAAAGTGGGCCTGCACCTGGAGAGGTAGAGAAACTACATACCAGAATATAACTATATATCAACAGTAGTAGAGAGAGAGTGTGAGAGAAAGAATGAAAATAGTGCGGTCAGTGCCCCCAACGATCAGTTCACAAATCAAATCTATACTTTGAAAGGCAAAGCAAAGAATAGGGGGAGAAACCCCTTGAATTTACTACTTAGAAAACGGGTAAGATACCCCGCCCCCCCCCCCCAAAAGTCTGTTTCTTTTGGTTGTTTAATGTAGCTGCTGTAATGCAACAAAGTCTGTCTGGATTTTTGTTTTTCTGGCAGTTTTTTTTTTGCTTGCATAGTCAATTACTTTCTTGCCCCAGACTGTTGATGAGGAATTTTCTGAAGCCAAAGTTATGTAGCTGTAGTGACTACATGAACCTGTAGCTCCATGCAGCTCCTACTAATGGCCATATAGTGCAGCGTTTCCAAAAGGTGCCAAATTCATCTGAACCAACTGTATATGAATTTAAAAAATATTTACTGAGGACATGCATTCTTTTGCAATTTTCCAAGCCCTGTACCAAAGTGATTTGATACATTTTGATAGTCTTGATCTCTACATGATATTCTACTCTCAGCCAACAATGTGCTGCCACCTATAACTCATTTTTCAATTGCTTGGATTTGATACCTTTTGGAACTCCTCAGTGTCATGTTCTTGCAGGAAACTGCATGAGGCTGATGAACATATATGATGCAAGTTATGAAATGACCTATGAGTCTATCACCAAACATCTTCTTTCTAAATATTATAATGGGAAATCATTTGCCAGAGCAAATGAGTAACCTTTTGCTCATGTATACAGATGTCACTCTTCTTTGGATGCTACTTCTGCAGGCTATAGATCATCCAGTCATGTGGTTAATGCAGAGGGTAAAGTTGCAAGATGATGTTGCTAAGTCACCATTTTGGATACCGTTCGTAACCTCCATTTGAGTGGCAACACAATAACCCTAGAACAGTGATTCTCAACCTGTGGGTCCCCAGGTGTTTTGGCCGACAGCTCGCAGAAATCCCAGCTAGTTTTCCAGCTGTTAGGATTCTTGGGAGTTGAACACCAAAACATCTGGGGACCCACAGGTTGATATATGTGACATCTAGAATCATAGTACAACTATGCTGCTAGAAGTAATATGTATTCTGGGTGAAACATTTTCACATTAGTATATAGTAAGTATATGTAGAACAGCAAAGACTGGTTAAATGAACCAGTACCAAAAAAGTATGTGACTGGCTCCTAAATTCACTCATAATTATTTTTGCAGAAGACAACCCCATTTTGAACCTAACACCCAAAGTGATTTTACAAACATTATCCCAGATAACTCACTATCATAATTCAAATCCCAATGTGTATGGATTTTTTAAATATGAATACAATTCCTGACATTAACAGTAGCATGAACTAACTAAAAACTGTTCAGCAGTTCAACTATTATCAATTAAAATATCTGTTTAGGCAATACTTTTTCTTTATTACTAGTAATTTACCAAGCAATTTAGAGAAGATAAAAACTTAACTGCCGCAGATTGTGCCAAAGTAAAAACAGCTGCTAGGCTATGTTGGGAGTGACGGTCTGAACATTTTAAAAGTTTGGCAAATATGTGAAAACCACATGTGTTTTTTTTTTCAATATGAAAAAGATTTACTCTGCTGCTATTTTACTAATTCAAAGAGACCCAATATGGTTCATAAAACTACTCCTGCAGGTCATACATCTAATTACCTGTTCCTGAAGGTAGCAGAGACGATCTAGAAGGATCAGTACTTCTATGCAAGGTCCCAGGACAACTTTCAGCTGAAAGAATTAAATGCCAACTTAGCTAACAAATATTTATTATATAATTTAAATTTCATCTTAATGGGATTTTCATGATTTTATCAACAATGTCAGCAGCTTTTCAGCCCTGCTGACAAAAACAGGCATTTTCAAAACAGGATTTAGCCATGGTCTATTAATAGACATTCAAAATGCAAAAGCATAAAAATTGTGTTACGAATATACTCTTACCTAACTAAAATCCTTTGCCTCCTATTAAGTTTTCAAAATGGTCCTCAGCACTCAGTCTGTGCTACGAAACAGATTGTTGTTTTTTTTAAAAAAACCCCTCTTTCCTTACCAAAATAATTAAAGGCCAAGTTTTCTTGAGAAAATACAGTACAACTCCTACCTTACCAATTCTATTTTGCCGGACATCTTTGGAATATCAGTGCAGTAAAAGATCAAAGCTTGTCAAATGTATTAGGCATGGCATCAATTGATTTAGTAGCTTTGAGGTATAATTCAGCATTAAAAAAACCCACTTCAAGTGGCAGGAATCTCGTTAAAAGGAAAACCAACAATGAAATGTACTAAAAGGAATGCACAGAGACTAATATGAGTTCAAAAGGAAACTGACATTTTTCACATTTATTATACTTCAAAAAGAATATCCATATGTTCTCGTTATTGTTTTACTGACACCTAATATACTTTTGGAAGAGAGCATGCTCCCTATTAAGGGGTGATTTTTTTTCAATTTTTCTATGGTATCATAACACAAATTGATCCACCCTATTATAAAATTTCTTACAAATCAATGATAGCCTAGTGTAAACCTAAAAAACAACTTTTCAAATACTGTTATTTTTACCATATTAAAAGCTTCCATCTCATTCATTCTGTGCTTGTATTTTTCAAAGTACTCCATTATGCGGCTGTCTGAAATCTGCAATAGGAAGAAAATTGATGACAGCAATTAAAGCTTACCTGAAGCAGATGCTAACATTATTTTCTCTAATTAAGAATACTTCAGAACAAAGAAAAATTTCATTTTGCAATCAATATTTTTCTAACTTGCTATTAATGACTTTCTTCTACCCTTCTACTCTCGACGTTGTTTATGCCTGAGTTACCTGCAGTACAAGTTACACAATATTGTAGAATTGTAACTATGCCTAGAATTGTAAAAAATGAAAATACCTCTAAGTCTGCCATTCTAAACATGCTTTCACTATGGAGTATATCCCACTGAATTCTGTGGGGGTGTCAATTTGGCGTTAACAAATATGTCAAGTTCTGTAAGTTTATGTCAATATCTGATAAAAGAACAAGCTTGGAAACTTTGAGTTGGATCCATATGGACTCTACTACTAATAGAAAGATACTTGGATCCAATTATTTCAGCTGATGAGTTTAGTATTCCTGTAAAGCAGATTTTTAGGGAGCACCAAACTGGAATGAAGATATTGGAAAAAATGGAGGAGGGCACTCAAAGTGTCTGCATGTGTGGTGTATTCCAGCTCTCTTTTTATTGTATGTATAATTGTGATTCACAAGACTAACATTAAAAAAGAACTAAGGAAAGGAAGAGGAACATGTAAGCCTAGTTAAGACATAAATATTAAAGCATGTTTTGACAATCGTGAATGAGCTTGTTTTATCCTCCACCTCTTCTCATACTTCCTAATTCTGCTTTCACAGCAAACTATTGTTTGCATACGGCACAGTTTGTATAACTTCAGACATCATTATATAACAATAATTTTGAGAATTATCATATGCTAAAGCCAGGAATAGAGAGCACAAATCAGACCATACAAAGAAAAGGAGGAGATTGGTTGCTGAAAGTCAATTTGTAGTAGCAAAACCATTGGGGTTTTTTAATTACGTCTGAAGCAGGAAAAGGAGAAAATCAAGGTAAGTAACTTTTCCTGAAACTCTTACATTATTATTTCATATTCAAAGTACAAATAAAAGCTATATACTGTAGGCCATCTTCATCAAGGTTATATTGTACAAATAATCACATGAAAGGGGTCAACTCTCCGTGACACTGATGAAATGCCTTTAATGAAATCCCATACATATTTGACTGGGAACTCTTTATCGGCAGATGTCTACCATTTCTTCCAGCACCTTATTAATGTAGGGGCTTTCCTGTTTGCTTATATTAAATTGAAGTCTGTGGTTTGTCAGGTGATTTCTGTAGATATTACTGCTGTTGAAACTCCTTGTCAGATTAAACAGGAATTTGGCATTGGCATCATGTAGATTACATGTTGGTTTATATATGAAATACAACTAGATTTGAAGCAGAGCACAAATATACATTTTCACACCGCTAACCTATTAGCCTTTCATAATCCCTTTGAAGTACATATGCTGATCTATATCTGTTTTGTAACAATCAGTTGGTGAATATTCTTACTGAAGTTCTTATTACAGATTACCTATTCACATTATAACTCAAGTTAACCCCAAATGAGGGCAAGTTGTGAAACTTCAGAACAAGAGTTGCTGATCTTGACAATATCTACTTCTGGAGAAATACATGAAAGACTGTGGTACTCATATCTGAGAGCTTTGTTGATACAGATGGAAATGGTCAAATTTGCAAATCTATTGCTGGTTCATCAATTCTGGTAAGGCACATGGCAGATTGTGTTTTCTGAAATATATGATGCAACCTCTGCCTCACGTCGATACCGGGCAAGATTCTGGAAAAGATTGTTAAGGAAGCGGTCTGCAAACACTTAGAAACAAATGCAGTCATGCTAATAGTCAACATGGATTTATCAAAAACAAGTCATGCCAGACTAATCTGATCTCTTTCTTCGATAGAGCTACAAGCTGGGTAGATGCGGGAATGATGCCGTGGATGGAGCGTACCTGGATTTCAGGAAGGCCTTCTCCGACAAGGTCCCCCATGACCTTCTGGCAAGGAAACTAGTCCAATGTGGGCTAGGCAAAACTACGGTGAGGTGGATCTGTAATTGGTTAAGTGGACGAACACAGAGAGTGCTCACTAATGCTTCCTCTTCATCTTGGAAAGAAGTAACAAGTGGAGTGCCGCAGGGTTCCGTCCTGGGCCCGGTCCTGTTCAACATCTTTATTAATGACTTAGATGAAGGGCTAGAAGGCATGATCATCAAGTTTGCAGACGACACCAAATTGGGAGGGATAGCCAATAGTCCAGAGGACAGGAGCCGAATTCAAAACGATCTTGACAGATTAGAGAGATGGGCCAAAACTAACAAAATGAAGTTCAACAGTGACAAATGCAAGATACTCCACTTTGGCAGAAAAAATGAAATGCAAAGATACAGAATGGGTGACGCCTGGCTCGAGAGCAGTACGTGTGAAAAAGATCTTGGAGTCCTCGTGGACAACAAGTTAAACATGAGCCAACAATGTGATGTGGCGGCAAAAAAAAGCCAGTGGGATTTTGGCCTGCATCAATAGGAGCATAGGAAGTAATGCTACCCCTCTATTCTGCTTTGGTTAGACCACATCTGGAATATTGTGTCCAATTCTGGGCACCACAATTCAAGAGAGATATTGACAAGCTGGAATGTGTCCAGAGGAGGGCGACTAAAATGATCAAGGGTCTGGAGAACAAGCCCTATGAGGAGCGGCTTAGGGAACTGGGCATGTTTAGCCTGAAGAAGAGAAGGCTGAGAGGAGATATGATAGCCATGTATAATTATGTGAGAGGAAGCCACAGGGAGGAGGGAGCAAGCTTGTTTTCTGCTTCCTTGGAGACTAGGACGCGGAACAATGGCTTCAAACTACAAGAGAGGAGATTCCATCTGAACATGAGGAAGAACTTCCTGACTGTGAGAGCTGTTCAGCAGTGGAACTCTCTGCCCCGAAGTGTGGTGGAGGCTCCTTCTTTGGAAGCTTTTAAACAAGCTGGATGGCCATCTGTTGGGGGTATTTTGAAAAATTCCTGCTTCTTGGCAGGGGGTTGGACTGGATGGCCCATGAGGTCTCTTTCAACTCTTTGATTCTATGATTCTATGATTCTATGAAAAGAACTAATCAAAATAGCTACATGTACTGCTCTGTTCTTGCCAAAGGTGAAGTTAGTCCAGTAATAGCAACTTTGAAATAAGTGATTGCAAGTAAGTAAATCCTTGTGGATTTATTCAATTCCTTGAATACTCTTTTTCAGATTTGCAATGTAATGGCCTATGGTTAATGTGTCAGACATTCTGATATCGCAGCAAACAAATGTCTTGAAAAAGGAGGACATCACTTCAAATTCTAGAGGTTGGATCACTTGAGGAGTCTTCCAAAGGATTAGAGGGCTTCCAATATTTATTATTACTTTTAAACCTAAAGGTGCCTCAAACCATATGAAAATAAGATGTAGTTTGGGTTTTATTTTTTTTAAAGAGGGCAGGGGTAGAGTTAGAAGCCTGAGGAGGCAACTTCATATTTGCTTTTAACATAACAAGACCCATTCTTGTATTTTTAAAATATAAAGAATAGTATAAAGAAAAGTTATTTTGACTTCTTATTTTGCTGAGTAATGTCCAAAAGCATTGCTTCTGTTTATTTTATTTATTAAAATACTGAGATCCCAACTTAAGTCCAAGGATCACAGAACAACATACAATAAAATCAATACAGAACAGTTTGAAATGATAAATAATGTTTAAACAATATGAAATGCGGAGGCACATAAATTCTGCCCATTAACGTTTTATTTAGCTCCCATGGCTAATAGCTGTTAATTCATACAACCTTGATGCTACGGTGGACAAGGCTGTCCAGGAGTCATTTTAGTACTCCCACAAATTTCTGCAGTCCACACCTGCATCTGTGATGCCCAACCTCACAACACCAAGCAGGTGGTTTAATATTTATTTACTTACTAGCTTTGGCCCCTTCCACAAAGCTGAATAAAATCCCACATTATCTGCTTTGAACTCGAATATATGGCAGTGTGAACTCAGATAACCAAGTTCAAAGCCGATATTGTGGAATTTTCTGCCTTGATATTCTGGGTTATATGGCTGTGTGAAAGGGCCCTCTGGCATCTGGCGATGCTCGGATTATGTCCTTAGTGAGGATAACTATTAGAAATAGTCTTTGTTTGTTTTTGGATTTTATTAATGGATCTAATAGAAAATTCATAAGGATGTGGGTAAACAACAACTCCTGTCATCATCTGTCATTGTCCCTGCGAGTATTCATGATGGATATATTTGTCAAATTTGGTCCAGAGCCATCGTTTGTGGGATTCACTGTGCTCCCTAGATGCAAAGTGTACTGTAACTGTCATCATCCAACGCCGCCACCCCCCCCCCCCCAAAAAAGCCCCTCCAATAATTTCTGTTGATCATGGGGGAAGTTTGGTCCAGATCTATCATTCCTGGAAGTCTGATGGAGTTACTAGACAGCTCCAAAATGAGGAATTAATATGCTGGATACACAAACCTGGGGCCTAAGATCAAGTCCCCACACAGTCTTGCCATCCTCACAGCCTTTCTGTGTCTTGGGATAAAATGGAAAGCAGACGGGGAACATCCGATAGAATTATGCACTGATGTTTATATACACACATGCAAATATTCTAATACAAATATGGAGAGATTGCTATGTGCACATACAAATATCAGCACATAACGATGGTTTTTTTAAAAAAAAAAATGCCACCAGATTTTGCTCTTTCCCCAGTTGCTTATTCACAATTTAATATTTTAAAGTTTTAAATAAATACTTTCAGAGACCTCTAATGGCTCTCTGCTTCTCTTCTCTTGAGACCAGCTGGGTCTCTGTGGGAGTCCGAACAGTTGATCAGCTGTTTCAGAATGTTTAAAATCTGCACAGGCAGGAAGCAGAGGGAAATCCCAAACTTTATATGACTGCAGGGCCACACAGTCATAGGAAAATCCACTTTTTTCACCTGGAAGCGGGATAAAGGAGGACCTTTTTGTATCAGGTTGAATGTACATTTAGCACAAACATCATCTGCCCCCCACCCAACCTGTTATCTCCTGTTTCTTTTGTGTTGTGTGGAAGGGCCCTTAATGATCTCTAGAAGGGGGAACTGTCTTGGAAATCACCCATAAGCATGTATGTATACACACGTGCACATGCACACACACACATACACACACACACATATACAAACCTATTTGCGCTATAAATAATATATAGATAGATTTCATTTCTATGCTGCCTTTTCACCGAAAGTGGGACCCAATGTAGCCAAAAACAGTAAAACAACAATGCAATACAAATTTTAAAATAATTTTAAACCCATATTAATTACCATAAAATCATTGAAAGACATGCAAATTTTTAAAAAATAAATTAAACACCCATCATAGTAAGAAGTTTCCCTGCTCACACATTAAAAGCCTTTGTCTGCTGGTAAAAGGAAAACAGAGGGTGACAGCTTAGTCTTCCACATAAGGCCATTTCAGAGGGTGGGAGCAGGCACTGTGCTGCATTACAGACCATATTTTGACATCAATAATACTACTGACTTGACACTGAAGATACTCTTCAGCTAACGCAGGTCCAATAAGAAAATAATCTCAAATTAATTTTGTTACTCTACAAATTACGACAGTTCCATTTATGTCTGCTGTTTTGCATCTGCTTTAAATTAAACAATTTTACGAGTGGATAGCTTTTTCAAAAATATTTTATAGATAATAAAACAATTTTAGGAATGTAGTAATCTTTTTCAAATCAATATTCAGCTTGCAGTAATTTGGCATTGGTCTGTAACTTAGATATACAATAGATCTGAATTTCATTATCCAAAAAACAGAATCAGATTTCAAAAGAATCATCTAGCAAACAAAAGAACCATCTAGCAAACAACACATCTGATTTAATAAATGAGAAATCAATATAATCACCAACTTACCTTTGACTCGTCAAGTTCAAGCTTTTTTAAAGATTTCCTGACATAATCCAGGAAGGATGATGTTTTGGAATATACTTTTCCAATATTGCGATCACTGAAATGATAAAAAACATTTATTTTGTTGTATTAAGAGGCTGCTTATTGTAATTCCCCAAAGAACACACACACAAACATGATACACTATGGGCATAAAAGCTAAATAAAAAAATAATATAATTACTTTCAGAAAAAAAGGGGAAGGTTTTGCTACATTTGCTTATCTCAGTGTCCTGTCTGTTTTTGTTCTATTATACTCAATGTATTCTTAAAATATTCTTTCTACTTATGTTTTTTTCCAGGTTCTTTTGGATTTTTAAAATAATGGTGTAGATATATTGGACCATGTCCAAAGGAATAGTAGGAGAGTCCTATCTATATAGGTGGCATTTATGTGAGCCTCTAAAAACAGCATAAGCCTCATCTGAAGTTATATTATAGTGTTTTCAGAGCTCTGGTGACAAATAATCCTGATGCTACCGCTTAGTATTTTGTTACTAAGGAGTCAGTCAACCTTGCCGTCCTTTCAACTAGTATCTTGTTACTTAATCCCACTTTCCTTGGGAAGAATTGGGAAGCGTTTTGTATCTTCTAGTGTAAAGAAGCTGCTATTTGTCCTTGCTGATCTTAAATTAGTTAATTATTAGGAAGGAATCTTACCAGACAAGTTATAAGGTTATAACCATTTAAAGCCAATGAAAGATAAACAAAACATATTGAAGCTATGGGTTCCACTCTGGCTTCACATTGTTTCTGACTTATGGTGACCCTAGGGTGAACTTATAATAGAAAGGCTTCTTCAACAAGGGATTGCTTTTGCCTTCTTCTAAGCCTGACTTGCTCAAGGTTACTCTGTGGGTTCTCATTGCAGAGCAAGTGTTTGAATCCTGGTCTCCAGAGACCAATTATCAAACCACTACACCCCACTGGCTTTCTCATAGCAGGCATCATTACTTATTCCTCCATTTAACTTTGCCTGCTTTTCAAGCAGACACTGCATGTGCCGTCTTCATTCCAGAGAGTTGAGTTTGCCAAATTTAGTACAGAAAGAGCACTATGTAATTCACTAGCTCCTTGCCACTAATTGGTTTAATGAGAAGAGACTTTAAAGTGTGAGCTAGTTTGCAACAGAATATGCAGAGTCCAGGACAGATTTATATTATTATTATTGTTGTTGTTGTTGTTGTTGTTGTTGCTATTTTTATATCCCACTTTATCTTCCCCGAAAAGGACTCAAAACGGTTTAACAAAAAAGCACCAGCATAATCATTTAAAATATACAAATATACGAACATTAAAACAGGATTAACTATAAAGAGTATTAAAAAATTCCCTGTTTAAAAAATTCAAAGTAAAAAATCACAGCATCCCCTGAATTGATGTTAAGAACCTTCCTCTTCAAAAGCCTGTCTAAATAAAAAGGTTTTAGATTTCAGCCAAAAGGACAGCAAGGAGGGGACCATTCTACCTTCCCTGGGAAGGGAGCTCCAGAGTCAAGGGGTAGCCACCAAAAAGGCCCACTCTCTTGTTCTCACCAATTGTGCTTGAGATGGAGGTGAGATTGAGAGGAGGGCTTCTCCTGAAGATCTCAGGGCCCAGGCAGGTTCATATAAGGCAGTAGTTCTCAACCTGTGGGTCCCCAGGTGTTTTGCCTACAACTCCCAGAAATCCCAGTCAGTTTACCAGCTGTTAGGATTTCTGGGAGTTGAAGGCCAAAACATCTGGGGACCCAGGTTGAGAACCACTGATATAAGGGGATGCAGTCAATCAAATAGCCTGGACCTGAACCATCTAGGGATTTGAAGGTCAAAACCAGCACTGTGAATTGTGTGGATTAAGTTTCAATTTGTTTGTCCTCTTCTAGTGCATTACTCATGACAGGCACTGGTTTAGGGTCAGGACAGCTTCCCTGGCCTTAGGTGGAAGGGAGTAGTAAAGCTGAGTGACATCCTCATACACGTGGCACCATACTCCAAAAACTGTGGATGACTTCACCCAGCGGTTTCATGTATATGTTAAACAGTATGGGAGACAAAATGGAAGTCTGAGGAACCCCAAAGGTCAACTGTGGGGAGTTCAAACAGTAGTCTCCCAGCACCACTTTCTGGGTATGGCCCTCCCGAAAGGATCAAAACCACTGTAAGACAATGCCACCCAGTCCCATCCCACTATCAACACCGAAAAACTATCAACACCGAAGGTTAAAAAAAAAAACACTTTCAGCTAACTGGGATAGTAAATGTTTGCTGTACATTACTTTCAGGATTCACTGAGATTATGAATAAAAAGAAGGAAGTCTGTCCTTAATGATATGTGAAGTTATAGCACACTACCTTCTTTTGACTCCATATTCTTCTACTACAATAACCTGCAGTACAGCTCGATAAAACAATGATTCATTAGGCAGCTGCAAGGAATCAACAACAGGAAGTTTAGCTGGAAGCAGATACCACAACCAGAATAGTAAAAATAGTTTGCTGTCTTTAACTAATTACTGGTTAGTGCTCATTCCTACTAATGTTGCTAGCAAGTTTCTCATTTCCATGTTAAATTGTTGTTCTTTAGAAACATAATAATATAGCCATAATTACTGGGGGGGGGGGGGGGACAAAATTCAGGAAACAGCAAACATTGAAAGGAACTGGAACAAGGGAAAAGAAAGAAAGACCTACAGGCAAAAGTAGTCCCTGTTGTGTGTTTTACAGCATAAATGTAACCATTTAGTATAATATTTTTCAAACGTTAAGAGGCAAAACATTTTAAAAGAATTTTATAAGCTCCTTTCCACATACTTCACAATAACTTGAAAACAATGTAATTTTTGAAGGAGTTACTGCTATTAAGAATGACCAATTATTCAATCAGTTGTCATCTTCCACCTCTGAAAATGTAGGGCAAATTACCCCCTTATGTAATCTCCTGAATCAATGACTTTGCAGCAGGGATACACTGACATGTAAACCTGATGGGATAACCAACCACATCTTTTGTCTACATATACCATAGGGGTTGGTATGTGGCACAGCAATTACTTGAAGTAGCCACAGAAAGAATTTTGATGGGGATTTGAAAACAAAGAATATTGAGATTTCCGCCAAAACCAAACATTTGCAATAAATTAAAAGGAAATCCTTGCTGTACTCTCCTCCTTTTATATCTTTATTTCTGTAGGACTTAATATTGAGACAAATAGTCACAGATTGTTCATTGGTACATTTTGGCAAGATTTTGGATCTGACCACTGTGTTCCTGGTTAAATGGCAGAAAATTATTTTTTATGATGTACAATATGGCTTTACTTTCTCCCAATATTGGGCTATAAACTGAGAAATAACATTTCAGCAACTAGCAAGTCTTGTGGAAAGATCTGAACTTGCGGCGATGAGAAAACACAGCTACCCAACTATAAAAATGAAAAGAGAAGGGTGTGCTTTTTTCCTTTAAAATATAGTTTTATGAACTCTGATTACATTACTCAGAAAGCACGCAAGATGAAGAAAAAAAATCAATCTTGTAAGATGCCCAACTAAAGAAGAAAATCACTTTATTTAAGGGAGCAACAGAAATCCATTAACCTTTGAACACTAACAGCCAAATCTCCTCCAACACACCCTAAACATGTGTATTTATGTAAAAAAAGCTGCAACTTCAAGCAACTCAAACTTAAATGATGGGAGTTGAGTGCCTAAAACAGGGTTTCTGCTTGCTTTTTTCATGTGCTGTGTATCAACCAAAGTGGGCAACTGGAAGAATGTACTTCATACTTTGTTATACGGCAACAATTAAATGTGACTCATTAAATGTATTTCATGAATTTTATATCCTATTCTCAGACTTCCACAATCATAAAGTGTTTTTCTGTACACCTTGTGTTCTTTACAAAGTCATGTAGTATATTTTAGGGAATGAAATGGAGGTCCATGGCAGTCACTGACGGATGCAAGAAAGACTTCTATAGTCTGCAACAGTCAATGGAAGCAAGATTACTATAGAGACAGTAAGCTCAAAAAGGCCATTCATCCGGTTTAAGTCCTATCCAAATAAATTCTTGGAAAAAACAAAAGTGAATAGAACATGGATTCCAACTAGGTCACATACTTTAATTAGATTTTCTTTGCTAGATTCTCAGAAGAAGAAAATTACCATGTTTTAACTAATATAGCTTTAGACTCAGAAAATGTGTTTTTTATTTTAAATTTACAGGTGGGACTACAGAAACACAGTTTACAACAAGCCCCAATGCAGTTATTCAGTAACATCCAATAATGCAAAGCTTTCTTTAAAGAAAGCTTTGATGATAAATAAAGTTTAGACTGAACTGAAAGATATGCAGAGTGCTTTTAATGTATGCTCTTTCTATTTCAGTCACTGTTAATTAGCTGAAGAAAATTACATTTTATCTTTGCTTCACGAAGAGCAGAAAACAGAAGTGCAATTTCATGGTGTTGATGCAGAATATCAATCTGCCTCAGATGCAAGCTTTACTATTGCCCGACTCTTCGATTCCAGCAAACCACAAGTTCAGCACAAGGTCATGCATTCAAAGTATTCAAAGAGAGAAAACTGGCTTTGTCATTAGAAGGGTTAAACATACAACATTACTCACCACTTGGCCAACTGCAACTCGCTCCAAAGCCTTTAAACAGAATAAAGAGTACTGTGGGTTTTTTTTTTCAAATGAAACATTTTGTATACATACTTCATAAAGAAAAAATAACCCATTAACGGATTATGTGATATACAAAAAAAGTCTGTTGGCTGAAATGTGTTATCATCACCACATGTTATTTAAGACTGCAATCTAGAATGCACAATTATAATGAAATGTATATATCTACTTCTGCAAAGAGCTAAGATAATACTAGACTGTATATTTTGAAGTATATTTTCTCAATCTAATAACCAGTGTTGGTCTCCAGTGAGTTTCTAGTTCACATTCAATAATGTATATAAAATTGAAAATGTAGGCCTTCACACAAAACACAATCTCTGCAGTGTATTTATGAATAAAATAATATGGGGGGAGGAGATGGAATGATAGTAAATTGTTACTTACATTTGCAAACCTTGATGGTCCATATGTGCTGCTGCTATTGCTTTTGTTTAACCAGCAGTTTGATCCAGATTGAAATACTAGGTTGGTTTTAACCATTTGTAGAGTTAATGCTTTGGGGTTTTTCCTAAATTCAAAGCTCTTTTTTCTTTCTTTTTAAAAGTAATTACTTCTGAAAATGTTCAGATTTTCCCAAAAGTGCTAACGTCTTATGCAAATATTTTTTTAAATTACTACCTAAACATGACAGTCCCTACTGGAACAATAGGAAAGAGAGAATGATGGTAATGAGAATATGTTGAAGGACCTGAAAGGCCAGCAATAAATATTCAAAGGGCTGCTAATTTTAAAGATAACTTAATGGGGTTTAAAAAGTAATAATGGTGAGGGGCAATGCAATGTTTTGCAATGATGACACCTAAAAATCTCTTCCCAAATGGATGCTGAGATGGACCCTTAATTGTGGGAAGGAGGGATTATAATAAAACAACAGTTTCAGTAATTTGCTGGCCAAAACAAAACCTTGATCTAGCAGCCACTGGAACCATAATTCCAGAAATAGTCTGGAATGTGATGGGTCAAAATCATTGCTGTGTTCATGCAGGTATTGTCATGTTGTGGTTATATATGTATACTGATCATGTTTTAACTGTATATTGAGCACGTTTTTAACCAGAATATCAATAAGAACAGGGTGGGTCAATGTAATTTGGGAAGGGGGGTGCAGCCCTCTCTTCAGCATAGTGAAACATAGGGGACTAAAATGCAAGATAAGCAAAAGAGATCTGAATGCATTTTGGTGGAATTATGCAAGTTAAAACAAAGGATGAACATGTCAAGGGGGCACAGACGGAGGTATATAAGAGGATCAGATGAGGATTAAATAAGCATTTGAGTCAAAGGAAAGATGTGTGTTACAAGATTGGGATAGCACTGCAACCAGGAGCAGCAGAGCAGCTCTAATACTCTGATCTGCTTAACACTTGGCAGACACTACCAGCCCATTTTGATTCATAGATAGCATCTGTCAAAATATAACAAATCACATACATTTAAACTGAGAGGGGAGTAACGGATTAACAAAGTAGCCTCCCAATGTGAATATCCATAGAAATCTGAATATATATCGAGATAGCAAGGTTAGAGATAACAAAACATTCCATTTCAAGGTATCTGGTTAAAAACATAAACTTTTTAACTTTGCAAACTGACAAGCTATCTATTTTGTCCCATGTGCTTAGGGTGACCAGAAAATACTAGCAAAATCAATGAGAAGACTGGGCTGTAATGAACTTTCCTTCTTTTAGACCAGTAGTTCTCAGCCTGTGGGTCCCCTGATGTTTTGGCCTACAACTCCCAGAAACCCCAGCCAGTTTACCAGCTGTTAGGATTTCTGGGAATTGAAGGCCAAAACATCTGGGAACTCACAGAATGAGAACCACTAGCCTTTATCCAATTTGATCTAATTAATCTGTGGCCTAAGTTTAATTATTTCTTAACCATAGTAGTAACAAAATATGAGTAGCTGGATGGTTAACCAATTATGAAAGTTGCTTGAAACTGAGCATGAATACACCACTAATAACATTAATCTCATACCAGCAGTGCAACTTATGAAGCCCTTAAAATAGTTTTGGATTGCAGCTGCCAACATTCCTCCCAATTAGCTATCCAGACCTGAGGTTGCTGGGCACTGCAGCCAACATCAACTAGATCAGTGGTTCTCAACCTGTGGGTCCCCAGATGTTTTGGCCTTCAGCTTCCAGAAATCCTAACAACTGGTAAACTGGCTGGGATTTCTGGGACTTGTCAGCAAAACCACCTGGGGATCGACAGGTTAAGAACCACTGATCTCGATTATCAAATGATGACCACCTCTGCTTATTAGTGTATTTAGGACACAATTCTAGGCTTCCAAATGAAAAGGAAAGGAGGTAGAGGAAACTATACCAAACAGGCTGCCATTCTGGCGTTACGTCCACAGAACCAACCTTCTTCTTTTAAATATCGGCACAAGGGGAAACCCCATACTCTATGAGTACCATCTGCAGAGGAAAAAGTAACAATGTGTAATTTTTTTTAAAAAAAAAAATCTAAATCACTCTTGACAGCACAACATTACAACTTTTTAAAATGTTACTAGGCGTAATACTACAAAAGAACAGTATGGAAAAAATGTTTTATCTGACAAAAAAAACCATTTGTCTAAAGGACTGCAGTGTATTGGAAACAATTATCAACACTGTTTAATATACAGTTTACAATACTGTTTCAACACATTAGCAGACAGTCACAGCTGTGGCTTAATACATTAGGTGTTTTTGCTTTCTTAACACAGTTATGGATCAAGCCCAAACATTCCTGGCACTATTTAAGGAGAACCATATTGAGGAGACCAATCAGTAAACATCAAACACTAAAAGTTTGTTTCAACTTAATCACCTTTTAAAAACCAAATCTATTGATTTTTTTCCCTAGCCTCTTAAATGCTAACATATCTCTTGCTGCACTGCAATAAAATGCCTTTTCTAACCTTGTCACCTCAAAGACTTTCAAAGAACAGAGAAAATGCTAGATTATAACGCAAGAACTGTCTGGGAAATGGACTTCTATAAATGGATGCTGCAACATCTGTTCTTCTCCCCTGTGTATCATTCTTCACAGGTTTAATTCTAGGTTAGAAATCAAAGAAAATCTTCAATATAAGATTGATTGCAAGATATAATAATCATCGATGAAAGAAACACTAACGTTAACATTTCCTTCCATAGTGAGTACAGGAGTACAGAAAACATTATATTATAGTAGCAGCCCATGCCAATGTTTCTAAACAAAATCAAATGAGTTAAAAGCCCATCCATACCATGGAACATCCAATTTAGAGGGAGTGACCCTGATTACATTCTTGCTTTATGTTGCTTTCCCCAAAAGGCAAACTAAGTTTGTGGTGAATACAAATGGAGCAAAGCATTCTTTTGTAGCAGGGAGGCATAGCCAATCTGGATGTACACTACATGATGACAAGTTCTTCCTAAGGTTCCTTCTACACTGCCATATAATGCAGATTATCAAAGCAGATAATCCACATTATCCATTTTGAACTGGATTATATGAATCTACGCTGCCATATAATCAGTTCAAAGCAGATAATCTTGATTTCATCTGGCAGTGTAGAAGGGGCCTAAGTCTCTCAAATTCTGGGGGGGGGGGGTGTTGCCCACCTCCAAGCTTCCCTTCCTCTTTCTTGCTCCTCCCTTTCTCTGTACCTTATTGATGACAAAAGCCTTTTCACCTCACCTTCCTTGCCACTCAGGTCCTTTTTCCCTCGCCTTTCTTGCTTCCAAAACCCCTTTTCCCTCCCACTGCTCTGGGGGTGCTTTGATTGTGCTTTTCCTGCATGGCAGAAAGGTTTTGGACTGGATGGCCCCTGGGGTTTCTGCCATCATCATCATCATCATGACTAGGTGGCCATCTGTTGGGGGTATTTTGATTTGCGCTTTTCCTGCATGGCAGAAGGGGGTTGGACTGGATGACCCCTGGGGTCATATTTCTTTCTATTTTCTTTCTTATACTATAAGTGAGATATGTGCTGTGTGCCTAGGAATTCGTTCATGTTTTTTCAAAAAGTTCACACAAACACTCTGCAACCATCTGCCACTGGCCTAGCTATCAAATTTTATGCAGCCCCTCTGCCTAAAAGTTTGCTCATGTCTGATATGTATGTAATATATTATATATAATATAATATTTAATAAATAATATAGAAACATTTATTTGAGCTCCACGAGAAACTTTCCCTCAAATGGGCTCTGCATTTGTAAAGAAATTGAGAACTCCTGGATTAGAGTAGTAGTTGCAATAGCACTCTATCCAGCCTACAAAGCGGGATGCTCTTTGGAAAGCTGAGCAAATCTGGGTTGTTTTCTTTTTAAGTGGGGGAGCGCATGACTAATTGATGTAGAAGGGCAATGGAACTGATTCGCCACATCAAAAGGTGCAAAATCCATTATGCTACCATTTCATGTTCACTGACTTCTTCATCAGGCAAAGAAGTTGAAAACCATACCAGAGAAGAAAAGTAAATCTTACGTCACTAGTCTTGTTTGAGATGTTTGCTTAGGTTGGTATTTAATTTGGCCTTGAGAGAGGACCATATCTATTTCTTGGTCACAAGGGGATTGAGGACAAGGGCAGACAATAAAATTTATTTCTCCATTAAGAGCAACAAAGTAATTTTCACTGAAATGTAGGCCATCTCTAAACTGCGCAAGCCTGCAAGCTACTCTATAAGCTGATTATAGTGAGTCTCACTTTTTGCACTGTTACATCTATAGATAAGTTTAGGAACTGTAACAGGTAAAAACTTTTCAATGACATTCAAATTCAGTTTTGTTGGAGGTTAAAAAACTTTCACAGAATAAATCTGAGATATGAAATAAAGTAGTAGTAACACAGCATGTTTCTTTTTTCTCCTCATTACCTCCTTAATTTATATCAAGAGGGATATTGTGCCCATGGAAAACATATTTGGAATACTGTGACAGACAGATGCTTTTATATAATGCCAAAAAATAGTCACAAAAAAATCCATGTCTTTCTAAAACAAAGTCCTGCTGCCTTTTAAAAAGCAATAAACACATAAATAAACTTTGGCCACAAGCTAATTACAATGCAAATCAATAAGCTGGCCACAATACACAGGGGAGAGGCAACTTTTTAAGTATTAGTTCAATATATATTGACGTTTACAAATTTAACATTCAGGAAACCTTCTGAAAATAGATTTTTATGGAAAAACAGAAAATTATAAAAACTCATTTAGTCTACAGCTCACAAATGTTCCTGTAGTGATAAATTAATGAGTTTTAAAGTGCCACAGTATTTGTTATTATCGAATGAAGACTGTCAACATGCATATTTATTAAAATGATACCAATCAAGAACAACTCAAAATACCTCATAATATTTTTCTTAAGAAATCAATACAAACCAAAAAAAGTAAACAATCATTTTAGGGAGGAAAAATCCTAAGCATGACCCAGTACCTACATCAAGATTTATTCCGCATGTAAATCCATATAAAAAACTGCTTATTGCTTCCTATATTGCAGTTGATTAATAAATGCATACAATTCAAAGAGTCTGGTGCATTAGTTTGAATTTTGGACTAGGACACTAGGATACAAGAGTTCCAATCCTTGCTTGGCCATGGAAACACAGAGGATAACCTTGGATAAGTCACACACTTATGGGGGTGCAATGGGTTAAACCCTTGTGCCAGCAGGACTGGAGACCGACAGGACGTAGGTTCAAATCTGGGAAGACCGTGGATGAGCTCCCTCTGTCAACTCCAGCTCCCCATGCTGGGACATGAGAAAAGCCTCCCACAAAGATGGAAAAATATCAAAACATCTGGGAGTCCCCAGAGCAACATCCTTGCAGATGGTCAATTCTCTCACACCAGAAGCAACTTGCATTTTCTCAAGTCACTCCTGACATGAAAAAAAGCCTCAGAGGAAGGCAAAGGTGAATCCTCTTCAAGCAAATCTTGCCAAGAAAACCCTATGATAGGTTTGCTCTTAGGATCACCATAAGTCAGAAATAACTTGAATCCACACAACACATTTCTATATGTCTCCAAAATTAATAATACTGATTAATAGTAGTTTGAAACTTTGTAAAAAGTAAATATTGAGCAGCAGTAATGTGCAATTTGGAGTAAAAGGAAACTGTAAATTATTAGTTATTCAACATGAAGTCCAGTATTCATGATCTAAAAATATGTATAAGTAAATCAGTAAATTCTAAGATATTTTCCATCTTGTCAGAAAAAGCACTTGGTTTGCACACAGTACATAATCATTGCAAATGAAAATAAAAATTAATATTGTCACTGGTCTTGAAGAAGCATTTTCTTATCTTATTTTCAAAGTTGACAAACTTTCATTTTAGCTTGCACCCCAGTTGATTTTTTTCATATATTAAAGTTCCATTGTACATAGATATATCCAGACTTTATATTCACCATAAGAATGTTTAATAATAACAACAACAAGAATTGAAAGCATATTCAGACTTCATTTCTAATCACTTCTGGGAAATAATGGAATGCCTCAAGGCAAAACATGAAATTTGTGCAAAACCTGCCAAAATATAAACAATTGACTGAAGATCAGATGCAGCTGTCAGTGTAAATTACCCAAGACCTGCCAAAAACATCAAAAAGCCCCCATATTAATCATAAACTTATTAGCAGGGATGCAGGCCATAGATAAATAGTGAAGGAAAATCACATGGAACCTATATCTCATAAACATCTGAATTCACAAGGCTGGTACTGACATTTATAAATTGTTTAATTATAAAGATTACTAAACTGGGGGAGCTAGCTACCAAAATTGTGTTTTTACTTGGGTTGTCCATGATATATGAGTGACAATGTTCTAATCTTCATTCAAGCAGAGTAAAAACCTTGCACTGAGTGACCTCTCAAGTATTTTCTTTTTTGGAGGACTTAAATTTACTGTTGGGTACTAAAAATGGCCCATGTCCACTGGAGTGTTTGTAGATGCAGAATCAAAATTATCCCTCAATACCCTTAAAGCTAAAAAACCTAGAAATCACACGCTCACATGAGTTTTGTTTATTTTGATTAGCTATAAACATCCCCTCCTGTCTTTGCAAAAACTAATAAACAACAAACACAGCACATTTTTTTAAAAAAATGTTACTACTGTTATTTTTAATTCAAAATACAGAAAAGCTCGTACCAAACTTTAAAACTAAGAAAAGCACATTAACTTAAAAGAAAACAGCCAATATGAATTGTATAAAGACCTAATATTATCAAGGTACACTTTTAAACACTGGAAACAGAAGTTTTCACTAATGGTAATGCACCCACAACTTGTGCCCCAAACATAAGAACAAAAGAAAATTGAGAATAGCTTGAGGTTACATCTGTTTGTGTGTGTGTATGTGTTTTTTTTTGGGGGGGGGGGGGATGTCATATTTTAATGCTAAACAGTGAAAAGGGCAGTTTAGGGGAGTTCTGTGCCTCAGGTGATTGCATATGGCACCAAGACGACATTTCACCTTTCCCTGGTCTACTGAATCACTCCTATAGATACACTTGTTGAGATTATTGTTTTTTTTCCATGTTTAACTATATCTCAACAGATATGTTTTCTGCTAATTTGCCCAGAACAGGAAGAAATTGATTGGTCTGTTATATTCCTGGATTTTTTCACCTACAGAATTAGTGCTATGATGGATGCTTCACGGTTCACTGGTAAAAAGGCCAACTTTAAGGGCATTGCTTGTTAAAAGATCAGCAATTTAACAACTGAGATATTGGACCTGGTTATTTGCTTAATTTTAATTTCTTAACAAGATCTAGAATAACATATCAGAGTAAATATGGGAGCACACAATCAATTACAGTTCCCATTAATCATTGGAGCACAATGAAGAGTTAATATTGGTTCTTACACCTTGTCACAGCATGACTGAAATAATATTTCTCATTTAAGCAACAAAGGAAAACACTTCTGCTTTTTTGTGCTTCAAAGGAAAAAGAAAACAGATTAAAACCACAATTTTCTGGTAAACTGGCTGGGATTTCTGGAAGATGTAGGCCAAAAACATCTGGGGATTCCAGGTTGAGAACCACTGCTTTAACACCATATGTCAGATATTTCATGAATTCATTCACACACTACAGCCTTGTTTCCCCTTATAGCTGTATTTAGAGATGGTATGGAAATGAAATCAAGTGCTTTGATCTTTTCTTTGGATTATTTAATAAATTGCCATGGCATCAAAGGGGTTTTTTTTCTACTAATATTAGGGGAGACAGAAAAATAAATTCATTGCACTAAGAGGGTCAGACATAGAACATTTATGTTCTCCAAGATACATAATCAATAAAGATTTAGGCTCTTTGTATGTTTACAGAACCCAAGTGACCCCCTTTAAATAAGGAAAGAAATCTAAGGTAAAGAATGTTGAATTTGCTAACGTAAAGTGAAGCATGTTGAATTTGCTCAACGCTGTTGGACTGTGCCCAAGGAATCATTCAAAAGGATATCTCCATGCACTTAGGCAAATTGTTGTCTTTTATCTGTTTTTGTTAAGATACTAACAAAACTAGTCCTACAGAATGTGTGTGCTTGACTGTCTACACTCCAGATTAATCAAAACAAAGATGTAGCCCCCATCCACACTGCTGTATAATGCAGTTACAGGATGCAGATTATCTGCATTGAACTGTATTATATGAGTCTACACTGCCATATAATGCAGTTCAATGCAGTTAAAAACTGCATTCTGAAATTGCATTATATAGCAGTGTAGATGGGCCTTTAGAAATAAAAGCAAAAGTAGTTTTTCCTCATCTTAGTAATGAATATTTTTGTAGTAAATTGCAAGACAATTCTGAATATATTCAGACCCCCATTAAGCATCTAGAATGAAATCTATGAAGTAAAATGAAGGAAATCAGTTTCTGCATTAATTTTTGCAACTATGTGAACTTAAAACAATTCCTTTAAATTTAAGGTTTTTTAAAATGAAGAAATGGTTGTAAACAGCACTATATTGATGTACAAATTTCTGTATTATGAATTAGTGAGCTGTTACATGTACACAGCCAAGGGGAGCATCTGATATAAACATTACGAGGAAGGAAATATAATGATGAAGAAAACATATAGTTTGTATATAGAGGTGGAATAAAAACAGCTGCCTTTGTAGCCACATTAAAGCATTTTATATTAATAAGCCTATAATCAGAAAAGATCATATGAAAATAAAGACAAAAAAGGAAAGCCACAGGGCATTCAAAAGTTGAGTTACCTTCAAAAATAACTAAAATTAGTGAGAAAGGAGCCAGTAAAGGGAACAAAAGGTATTTATTAATTAGAACATATTGTAAAGAGAAAAAAAACTTGACTTAGGTACCTTTCTCAATTTCATGTTCTTCTGATAGCAGATGGTAACAGCAACCCACACTACAAACTGCCTTAATTTCAGACTTAGCATTAAAAAGACGTAGGGTGCTTGGTGCAAGATCACCACAAGTATGAAGGCCCACAAGCACACAGTCCTGGAACAGAGACAAAAAAAGCAGGTTCTGAACTTAGCAAGCAGGATAATAGACACTCTAAGACAGTGGTTCTCAAACTGTGGGTCCCCAAATGTTTTGGCCTTCAACTCCCCGAAATCCTAACAATTGGAGCCACTGCTCTAAGAGCAAAATACTATTATATGCAAAAAATACTATAGCAACTTTGGGTAGAGGTAAAAAAATGATGATCTGTGTGTAAATTCTTAAGTACAGGATATGGCAGAGTTCATAGGCAATGTTGCTACTCTTGCACCAAAGACAAAGGAAAATAGAGAATTACAATAATAGGGAACAACTTGGTAGGACAGTAAAGTGATGGAATATCAACCACAGTGGCCGAGATGGAAAGAAGGCCAAGTACTAGAATAGTATGTAGGAGTGGAACTCTGATTAACAAAAGCTAGTCCAATGATAGCTATGGAAAACCCAACTGGAACGACTAAGCACGAAACAGTAACAAAATACTGTATTACTCTAAATTTATCTCTACGTAAAAGGTTATTGTCACCCAAATTTCCAGTTTTAAAATGGTAATTTTAATTAGAAAATTAAGCCGATTTAGGAGCCTCTACATTGTGGAATTAATGCAGGTGGATAACATCCATGGCTTACTGCTATGGAATCATGGGATTTATAGTTTTACCTAGTTTTTAACCTTCTCTGCCCAAGAGTCCTGGTGCCTCAACAAACTACAACTCCAAGAATTCCATAGCATTGAGCCATGGCAGTTAAAGTGGTGTCAGCCTGCACTAATTCCACAATGTAGATGCACTCTTAGAGGAGACTACAAGGAAGTGGGGAGTCACCCAAAATTGCCCTCATCCTATTTTCTTAGAAAATTCCACTCAAGGCTCATTTGTGAAATGCTGATCTTTTTAGATAGCAACTTTCTATACATTCTTGTATTTTTTTTTTCTGTGATGTGAAGGATTTACATAAGAGGAATAAGAAGATGAGTTGTATAAAAATATTTCCAATATTTTGTACCTTCAACATGTATGATTGATTTATAGATTTAACTTCTGAAATGTGCTGCAGTCTCCAACACATGAAAAGTTTGTTTTCATCATCGGCATTTCTCCATGTTTTTGAATTTTTAAACACTGGAACTTCAGATTGGTACAGAAATGTAAAACTAGATTTTGTTTAGTTTTATTATATTAAAGCTTAATTCAATTCATACTCTTTTCCTCTACTTACTTTTGAATTTAAGTTCCAGTACGGAATCTATTTTTGCTTTTATTGGCCTTACATGCTCTATAAACTGAAAATGTTGTAAAGTAATTACAAATGTAAAATAAGGTTTAATATTAAAACATCTGTATTATCATGTAACATACAGAAGTTCTTGAAAAATAATGGTCACCAAGGGCATTGTGAACAAACCACTGAATTAATTGGGAGGTCAAAATGTTTCTGAATTTAAAGTAATGGTACTTCACACAGGCATGACTTTCTATACAAGGAAAAATGCCCATATTTGTCACAAGGTGAATATGTGAAAATTCTTTAAAAAGAATTGGATGGTAAAATGAATCACGTCTTAAACACACAACCGCAGCAGTAGAAATAGTGTTTGCTCAAACCTGGAAACAGACTGAAGAATCAATTATTAAAGAATAGATTGCTAAAGTTGCTGAGTTAGGCTGAATTACCAAATTAACATGGATTCTAAAGGATATGCCAACTGAAGACTTTCTGAAAGATTGGAAACCATTTATTAAGTTTGAGAAATAAGAAAGCTGATAATATAATCTGTGGTTATGGTTCCTAGGGTCCAATGTAATAATAGAATAATACACTTTTTCAGGAATGGAGCCCTGCCATGCTTTAACCATATGTATCTTTTTAATTTTATTTTATCCTTTTTCTTTTCTTTTCTTTTGTGAATTTATTTCTTAGCTGTAAAAATAAATGAACAAACAAACCCATGGCCATAAAATAGCAATTATGAATCAAACCCCACATGGCTAAAATTCTACTTCTGATTGGTATTTTTGAAATCCCAACAATGCTGTGACTGTACAAGTCTCCAGACTGCATATTTCCCGTACTGTGTTAAAAAAGAATACCACATTATTGATTCGTGATTTTTTAGCTTATGTTCTAATAACAACGACAACAAAAGGGGGGGGGGTTGATTAAAATGTTATGTATCAATCAAAATAACCTCCAGATCTTCAACAATGTCGCGGAGTTCCGTGTTTGCCGTGATGTATGAAGTTAATGGAGAATATACATTGGCTTCTTTTGACCTGCTTGCTTTGGCTTCAAGGGAAGCCATTTTTCTCCGTTCTTTCTCCTCTTCACAGAGATCCCTGCAATTACTTCTAGGTGAAGAGTCAGCTTCAACGGCATCAGCCGGCAGAATATTAAGAAACACATATTCTGGAGTGTTGCTCTCATCAGACTGCAGCTGGGCCCCAGAATGAAGTTCATATTGTTTGTTAGCAATACATATATCAGAGTCTGTGAAAACATCAGCTGTTTGAGAATCTGGGGCAGCCACCTGGGCCTGACTTTGAAGACTGTTATTAGTACTTAAGAGATTTTCGCTGCTATTTGCTTTACATTTCTCTTTATCTTGCTCTGGCCTTTCCTTTTTGTCTTTCAGTACTTGGCCTCTGACATTGGCTCTTGCCCTTCTTTGATAGGCTGTCCAGTGTTTCTTCAATTTCCTGTTTCTTTCATTAGCTCCATGGGTGTTTGTATTTGAGGAATCAATTCCATAAACCTTTAAACCATACTGCAGGGACAGGAAGGAGCTCAGGTAGCCTTTACCAGAGCCCAGGTCAATAACCTAGAGACAACAAGAAGATTTATTTAAAATAGCGCACAGTGGTACAAACAACAAAAAGTGGAAAACCATCATAAAATAATTACAAAATCAACTATAGTTTCTATGATTTGAAGCAAATTATCTCCAACATATGGCCCCCTTATTTGAAAAATCAACTCTCAGGGCCCTTAGAATCATAGAATCAAAGAGTTGGAAGAGACCTCATGGGCCATCCAGTCCAACCCCCTGCCAGGAAGCAGGAATATTGCATTCAAATCACCCCTGACAGATGGCCATCCAGCCTCTGTTTAAAAGCTTCCAAAGAAGGAGCCTCCACCACACTCTGGGGCAGAGAGTTCCACCCTTCTACACAGCTATATTATCCAGAATATCAAGGCAGAATAACCTACAATATCTGCTTTGAACTGGAATATCTTGAGTTTCACACTGTCACATATCCCAGTTCAAAGCAGATAATGTGGGATTTTATTCAATTGTGTGGAAGGGGCCTCAGTATGAAGAAAACTCCTCCATCTAGCTGTGAGAACATTAAGTCTAGTTTATTAAACCAAGATTGTATTACTTTTTAATACAACAGTGTTCTGAATCAAGTACAAAAAATAATTGTAATCTGGGAAACCTATGAGAGAGAACGGTTTTAGGTAACATTATTAAAATTGTATTGGTAATCAATAGATTTTATTCCAAAAGAAGAATATTCTAAGAAAGAAACAGAAACAGAACCAAAAACAGAAAACTGAATCATAGTTTCATATATTAAAAGTTTGTCTTGTTCCATCAGAAACATCTGGTTTATCTTTAGAAAGAGTTCAAAAGATACACACGCAGCTGTGATTGTGTGCTTTCAACACAGACACCTCTGAATTTTTTTCTTTTTAAAAATGATCTCTCAGCTATATGAATTCCATAACATCTAGTTTCCAGCTAGAACAAAGGAAAAGGAATGCATGAACTGATTTCCCAACAACTGAAGGGTGAAAGCGCTATGCATGAATATAATTTTAAATCTATGTTCCTTCATCATTTCCATTGTTATTTCAAAATGCTCTTTACCACTCCTAGGAGGAAGCACAAGGGATAATTGCTTGTACTCTACTGGCCTCTAGCGTCTGTCAATGTGCCAGCAATATTTTGGCACTTCTATATACTTTTTAATCAGTGAAAAAAGTATATATACGTTTACAGACATTTAATGAACCTTTATATTCCCTTTGAAAGAGCAATGAAAGTCATGCTATTCACACTGAAATAAAACATACTGGAAAAAACTGTTCCCTACTGAAGAACCACTGACTCAACTTGGAAGAGCAACACAAATATAAACAATGAAAACGACTGTTCCAAAGCATAATGAAATCTTTACTGAGTTCAGTTCTTGTAAGTAGCAAGGCAAAAAAACAATTCAAGAGGAAGTCAGAATTAAGACATTAGTTCTAAAACAGCTGTTCAATTAATATTATAAAGCCAAATGTTTTTAAAAGGGGTTTCTTTTAACAGTTTTAAAGCTATTGTAATTTAGATTTGCAATATTGTATCTTATACAAATGAATCCACAAAGTTTAATCAACAAAATATACATTTTAGTAACAATTGAAAACGAACAAGTATAAACATTGGAAGAACAGTAGGAAACTGTTCATCCAAATTGTGCTGGAAGTTTGTGCAGAAAGTGAATCAGGCTTCCATTGCATTTGGCTGCACCACTCCCTGCTTTTCAGATCATCTGGCATGCACAATATGGCCCAGCTGGTACAAATCATAGCAAATACTCCCTTATTCTGGCCTGTTTATAAGCCGAACAGGCCTACAATTACCTCAGTGCATCTAGGCTTTCCTTTCAATTTTTCCCATTTGTGGCTGAATGTTTAACTATGCTTTGTAGTTCTTGTCTTCCTATAAACTTCTGTCTCTTTCTAGGGACCAATTCCTAGCCAGCTTGGCAATTTGAAATTCACAGACTGCCACTGCAAACAGATATCCAAGCACCTTATCTTCTAGTTATTTTGTCAGTGTATCATAACTGGTTATTGCCTAGCAGTTATTTTCCAAGAGTCCTGGAAGTGGCTGTTGAGAAGGAGACTCAGACAATACGCTTCTGAAGTCAGCCTTTACACAGAACTAGGGAATACCCGATTAAGAGGACTAGCTTACATCCGGTTGTTAGTATATACATCTGTTCCTCCAGGTGACGCTTGCATGCAGATGCAGTTTCCTCGTTTCATCTGATTTTGTTAACCAGTTACTCTCTTAAGTAAGTCAATACTATGAAACACATTTTTCTCATCTCCTCAGCGTCTTCCAGGTGGTAGGTTTTCTTATTGTGATAGGCTTTTTCCGGCCAAGGATTTGCTGCTTAATGTTACAGTTCTCCATCATTTCAGATTCAATTGCATTTTAATACGTTTTATTGTATTTTGTGATACTGTGATGCTGAAAGTTCATAAGCCATCTTGAGTAGTACACAGGAAGCAGATATATTTTATATGAATACAAATTCATATGAATTTTTAAATATGGATTTACATGAATAAACAGCTTCTCCCTACTAGATAGGCTTGGCTTTCTTGCAACACATATGCTGCGAAGTTGCTTCATGTTAGCACTGTCATAAACCTAATATCCAACAACAATATGGAAATAAATGGAGGAGATGTTGGGCCTATGAACCATGACAGGAACAAATACCAATGGACTGATAATTATGACTATACAAAGGTCTCTCAATTCAATTTAGAGTCTAATTCAGTGTTCAATTGACTCAGACATAATGGAATATATAGCAATTTATATTGTTGGTCCTTCTATTGACAATGCATAAAAACCTTACAATGTTTAATATATGTGTTGGGTTTTGTATGTCCCAATACATCTACATGAAATATTAAGACATGACAGACTCTATAATGTGGATTAACCTTGCCAAATTGCAAGTGGGTACCTTCAATAGGTCTGTACTAGGTGAGCATTTCATCTTCCAGGACCTTGGACAGAGCCAAAGGAGTTAACATTTTCTGAGAAAGATTTCTGAGCAGTTGATATTGTTCTTGAACCTAACTGAACAGTTTAGAAATTTTGAGGAGGTTCAAGTTTCAAGCAACTACCCTTCAAAATAAATATTCTATTATTTTCTTTGATTGTGATATAGAACATAATCAATCTCCACACCATAGCACTTTCTGCCATCCATTACAAATTGTAGGCACAGGGAAAGACAGTTTCAGGTTTAGACTGGAATCTCTTTAAAATGCCTTGGGGAGATAAGATCTAAAAGCCTGTCTATCCTTCCCTATCAACCTTCTAGAAATTTGAGATCATCCTCAGAGGCCACATTACTATGCCATTGCCCCTGTTTAATCTGCTGTTTTGCTATATATGTCTAAATGTTATATGGCTAAATGCGGTAAACAAATATGTTTGTATTTCCAAAGTTCTTGTTTTCAACACTTACACTATTTAGTAAAACCTATATTCTCTGTAGATGACTGAATCTAGACTTAAGTTTCTACTGACAGCCCTATAAAGAGAGCCAACTACTCCACAAACCTCAACCATCAACAGGCCTTAAATAATAAGAGCTTTTAAGAAGACACAATATCAAATTCTAAGAATTCCTACCTGGCTTAAGCCACAATATTTTGCTATGCCATACACTAATTCTGACATCAACTGCACTTCATGTGACTTCTTATTATTCATGAAATCATCTGTTTTCATCTCTGCACCTAATCAAAAAGAGAAAAATAAATTTAAAAGTCTTTGAACTTCAGAATTTACAATATGCCCACAATCTAGTTCTCTCAAAAATGAGTATCTATCAATCTTTTGAAATAACCATCAAATTTATTTTGTACAAGTTGATTTTTTAATATAGATACAATCTTCGAATTGATTTAAAAATAGGCAGGAAAACTATATATCACAAATCTCAAAAAATCATTTAAAGTGCCACTGAAAGGTAAACAGCATATTTAATAGCCTTTCGCTAAATATATTGTCTCATTTACAATATTTATATAACCATCTCTTATCAAAGTATAGTTTATAGTTTTGAAATGTGAGCTTTGTGTTTCTATGTGATTTTAAGTAATTGTCTTAACTGATACGTTTTAATCATGTGATTTTAATGTATATGTTGTTTTATTTTATATGTAATCAAGGCATTAAATTGTGCCTCTATTGTAAGCCACGCTGATTACCCTTCTGGATGAGAAGGGTGGGATATAAATGTGGTAAATAAATAAATAAATAAATAAATAGGATTAATTATGCATGTAAGGTCATCTAGATATAGTTGAGAATATGCTAGTTCAGCTAAAGTGTTTGTATTGATGGTTCTGAAAATCAATGAAATAACATGGTCATTATGCAACAGTCCATCCCTGAGATCACTCAATTTCTCACAGAAGAGAAATAATGTAATCTTTAGACATTTCTATACTTCTTTTGGTTTGTCTGATGTGATTCATCAGTTAAAACATTTGGACAAAAAGTTCTAGTAACTCTTTATGCAAAAGCTGCCCGAATATATAATTTTCTATATAAAATATAAATTGTCTACAGAGCAGCATAATACACCAGAAAGAACACTGGCACAGAAATCAGGGATGTTATGGAAAGCCAAGCCAATTCTCAATTTTCAGTTTGGATTCTAAAGATATCAAGAGTCTGTGTGAACTGGAAACACAAAACAACTAGCAGCCCTACATGTGCTGACTGTTGCAAGAAAAAGGTCTCCGCAATTATATTTGCAAGACACCAGACACTTTGCAGTCTTTCCTGTAGGAAGAATCCCCTCCTTGCACTTCATACATTACTGCCATCTGCCAAGTTCCTAATCACCAGGCTATAACTTAATAAGAACATGCTGGGAATAATTGCCAAAAAGTTTTGCTTCTTTAAAAGTTGAGAACTGTATTGTGGTCAGAAGTATCCTAAAATTTCCATGTGAATGTCCAAAAGGCATGTACATTTAAACATCTGGTAGAATATATAAAACCTGTTAGCACACATAAACATTCTATCAAGTGACAAATGAGTGCATAAAATATGATACTAGCAAACAAAAAGAGTAAGTATGGCATGCCTTTTGCATGTGTGCTGGCAACACCTTTTGAGGTATAGATGAGAAAAGACTAAGATCCAATGGGCTGCAATATGAGGTTTTGGATGTGAAATAAAACTTTCCTGCCTTGCTTCTATTTCCAGCCCCCTAATATTTCAGAAAAGCTATTCAGGAAACAATACAATACAATGAATGCTTCTAGAACATGGCCATATAGCCCGAAAAACCTACAACAACCCAGTGATTCCATGAAAGCCTTCGACAATGCAATACAATACAATAATTTTTTTATGTTTTGTTGTGGGTTTTTTTTTGCTTGGTTGCTTCTTTGAAATGTTATGTTTATTAACACCAAAATACTACTTCAAAGTCCATGTTTTTAAGATAAAGATACTGTACTTAGAAGACTTTTTATGAAGTCTGAATGCACACTGAAATTTCAACCTGAAGTGATACTATGCCTAAAATGAAACAATAATAATAAAATTCGGATATGGGCATATGTTTCTGCCTAGAAATCATAAGTTGTGTCCATAACAAGGTATTTTGTTCATATTCTATTCAATGAAACTTTAAGTAGGTAATTACTAAGATTTCAAACTGATTCAAAAGAACCTAAGTTCAACTAATACAGTTTGGATCCAGCCTTTAATCTTCAAATTACTTTAAGCAATATTAATTTATTCTTGAAGGAGGCAGCTTCAAACATGCTTTGACTGCAGAAACTTCACAAATATTTAAGGACTCTAGACTGCCACTGAATTTTCACAAGACTTCTGCTCTTAGGGTACATTGATATAGAAGTAAGTTGATTTTTTAAATAAATATATATTTCTGTTCATGGAAGACTAGAAATGGGTAATATGTTCCAAGCTACTTTGGTTATTGCTAAAGCAAGCAGCAGAGATCTTCAAAGTAATCTCTCAGGCATATTTTTCTCCTTATCATAGGAAAAATCACAAAAAAACATGAAAGAGAATTTTCAAAACAGTACATTTGGATGTTGTAACATTCCTCTCCATGTGCAAGTTACCTTTTTTTAAAAAAAATCAGGTTTGTTGAAGAACATTCCTCAACAGCTAACAGATGTGCCTCTTTTCTGGAGGAAAGTATTTAGCAAAGTCTGTTAAACATTCACACTTTAAAGGTCCCAGGGATCATATGAAAAGAAGATATTACAGTTTTGAAGTTTAGTGTTTGCCTCTCCAGTAAGTGCTAGCAATTGCAATCTACTGAGTCTTCTTTTGATATCAAATACGGAAAAAAAATGTTTTGAAATGGTTTTGTTCTTATGTACAATTTCTACTTCTGTTAGAACTGTGTGTCTCATTTTTTAAAGACTATCTCTACCAGGAAAGCTTTAATATATTAAGTTAGGAAGAAAGTAAGCAGCTGTTGAAAAGCCAGTTAGTTCCTTGTTAAAGGACAGTAAGAAAATGACAGTGGAGGTGCACAGAGAAAAGTAGCATTACATATGACAATGTTATGGCTCACAGTCCAGATCATGTCACAAAGTGGGCTGTTGTCAAAGTATGGTTTTAAGCACTTTCATTTTTCAAACAAAAGAGAAAACATTAAAAGGAAAAGAGAAAAGGGAAAAAAAGAACTAAGGAATATCACATACAAAGAAATAATGACTAATAAAAAAGAAAGCTTTAAAAAGATGTTCCAAGGTTATAACTTACCAGATTCTGGCTGCTGTTTTCTGTTCAGAATTTTGAGCATCTGTTCCAATGGGATACACACTCCAAGGTTTGGCATAGAGTAGTATTTAGCAGCTAAAGCAAAAGCTTGTACATTAATCAACCTCTGAGAATTTTCACAAAAAATGTTGTGAAACTCACCTGAGAAGAAACAAAAAGAAAAAGAAGTTAACTTCAAGATGATTAGAAATCAAGACTGTGTTAAAGCCTTTATATCCAAGCCAAGTCAAAATATGTTACAAACAGAAGAAAATACTGAGGACTTCAGATCTGTAAGATTTTCCACAAAGTTAGGAAACAATTTGATTTGTATTGTCGAAGGCTTTCATGGCTGGAATTTGATTTGTGCTCATTTCCTTACTAGAGAAAAACAGCCTGCCTTCTACATTCATAGATTTTGGTTTTGTAGATTTTATTGTTCACAGATTAGAGTAATATGTTTTCTCCATGGATTACTAGGTCCTCCAGCATGACCCTGTGCTCAACTTCCATCATAGAGCTGTGCTGGAGGTCCAAGAGACTCTTAAACAGAACACTTTTGTTGGTTCTTCAATGGAATTCTAGATAAACGTCCAGCAGAAATTGACCACAGAGTTGCTCTGGAGGACCCAGAGATTTTGAGAGGTGTTCACTCGGGTTAAAAAATATGATTTTTTAAAATTCAGTTTTTCCATTTCTGCCAGGGTCCTGTGAGGGTCCAGTGAATGTGGAGGTTGACTGGGATTCAGAATGCTCTTTGACTGTAGGTGAACTATAAATCCCAGCAACTACAACTCCCAAAAGTCAAGGTCTATTTCTCTCAAACTCCATCTGTGTTCATATTAGAGCATATGGAATATGCATGCCAAGTTTGGTCCAGATCCATCATTGTTTCAGTCCACAGTGCTCTCTGGATGTTGGTGAACTACAATTCCCAAACTCAAGGGTCAATGCTCACCAAACCCTTCCAGTGTTTTATGTTGGTCATAGGAGCCCTGTGTGCCAAGTCTGGTTCAATTCGGAGTCTCCTGGAAGAGGCACCCAAGCAGCGCCCTCTGGAGGAGCCCGCTGGTAACGTCTGGCAGGGGACAGCTACTCTATATAAATAAAAATGTAATGTTCGTTTGTGGGATTAAAGTAACTCAAAAACCACTGGACGAATTGACACCAAATTTGGACACAATACTCCATCGTTGGTGAAGTTCAGAATGCTCTTTGATGGCAGGTGAACTATAAATCCCAGCAACTACAACTCCCAAATGACAAAATCATAGAGAGAGAGAGAGAGAGAGAGAGAGAGATGGTCATTCCTTGGATTAGTAGGTATCATGTGGCCAAATTTGGCAGCAATTCGTCCAGTGGTTTATGAATTATGTTAGTCCCACAAACGAACATTATATTTATATTTATATATATATACTAGCTTTCCCCTGCCACGCGTTGCTGTGGCTCACATAGGGATTCTGTGTGGGAGGCTTGGCCCAATTCTATTGTTGGTGAGGTTCAGAATGCTCTGTGATTGTAGGTGAACTATAAATCCCAGCAACTACAACTCCCAAATGTCAAGATTCTATTTTCCCCAAACTCCACCAGTGTTCACATTTGGGCATATGGAGTATTCGTGTAGAGTTTGGTCCAGATCCATCATTGTTTGAGTCCACAGTGATCTCTGGATGTAGGTGAACTACAACTCCAAAACCAAAGGACACTGCCCACCAAACCCTTCCAGTATTTTCTGTTGGTCGTGGGAGTCCTGTGTGCCAAGATTGGTTCAATTCCATCATTGGTGGGGTTCAGAATGCTCTTTGATTCCAGGTGAACTATAAATCCCAGCAACTATTTATTTATTTATTTAGAACTTTTATATACCGGTCTTCTCGACCTCCGGAGAGGGACTCAGGCCGGTTTACAACAAAGATTCATAAACAATAGTTTAAAACATCACATCCCATAATACAGTAATATATAAAATACATTAAAAAGCAATCATATAATTACATAAGGCCAAGTCGTCAAAATAAAATCACAATTCATCACCATCCGTCCGTGTGATCAAGAGTTATTGACTCACTCATCAAATGCTAAATTCCAGAGCCAAGTTTTCACCCGTTTTCTAAAAGTCAGGAGAGAAGGGGCAGTTCTAATCTCCAGTGGGAGAGAGTTCCAGAGCCGAGGGGCCACCACCGAGAAGGCTCTGTCCCTCGTCCCCACCAGAAGCAATTGCGAGGGTGGTGGGACAGAGAGCAGGGCCTTTCCAGAACATCTTAACAACCTTGATGGTTCATGGGGAGAATCCGTTCGGACAGGTAAACTGGGTCAAATGACAAAATCATTTTTTAAGTGATGGTCACTCCTTGGGATAGTAGGTGTCTTGTGTCCACATTTGGTGTCAATTCGTCCAGTGGTTTTTGAGTTCTGTTAATCCCACAAACAAACATTACATTTTTATTTTTATATTTTAATATATATACATACACACAGCTCTCATATATATATGTGTGTGTGTGTGTGTGTGTGTGTGTGTGTGAGAGAGAGAGAGAGAGAGAGAGAGATGTGTATATATATGTGTGTGTATGTATATGTATATAAAATATAAAAATAGAAATGATATATATATATATATATATATATACACACACACACACACACACATCTATATATATATATAAATGCTCTGTGCATAATTAGTACCTTAAAAACAAAAGAACCAATGAACAAAATCACACCAAATTTGGCAACAAAATGTCTCACAACGCAAGGAGTGACCATCACTCAAAAAATTATGATTTTGTCATTTGGAAGTTGTAGTTGCTGGGATTTATAGTTGGCTTACAATCAAAGAGCATTCTGAACTCCACCAATGATGGAATTGAACCAAACTTGGCACACAGAACACCCATGACCAAAAGAAAATACTGGAAGGGTTTGGTGGGCACTGACCTTGACTTTTGGAGTTGTAGTTCACCTGCATCCAGAGAGCACTGTGGACTCAAACAATGATGGATCTGGACCAAATTTGGTATGAATATTCCATATGCCCAACCATGAACACAGATGGAGTTTGGGGTAATAGACATTGACATTTGGGTGTTGTAGTCACTGTGATTGACAGTTCACATACAATCAAAGAGCATTCTGAACCCCACGAACAACAGAATTGGGGCAAACTTTCCACACAGAACCCCCATGACCAACAGAAAATACTTAAGGCCATCCAATCCAACTCCCTTCACCAGGGCAAGAAAATGTAATTAAAGTCCTCCTGACAATGAGCCATCCAGCCACTGATATAGATATAGATGGATATGAGTCACACAGAGAGAGATATAGTATCATAGATTTGAAAAGGACCCTTAAAGAAGGATAATGATATATTGCATGTTTCAGGGTGGGCAAACCAGACAACCTCCACATCAACACTGACAAAGAAAAAGCAAGGAATACTGTTTATCCACAAGCATAAAGAAATTACATATATTAGAAACCAACACTTTCTCATTACGTATTGTCCAGATGACCAGACTGGGCCATAGCAACGCGTGGCAGGGGACAGCTAGTATGTACATATATACATACATACATATACATACATACATACATACATATATATATATATGAGAGAGAGCTGCACATAGAAACAACAGGGTGTAACTCTTCTATTCCCTGGGCATCACCCCATTTGGCAAAACCGGGCCCTCCTCCTCTCCCTTCCTTCCCTTCTAATAGCCTATGTCTTCACCAAGCTTCCTCCTTCCCTTCCCTCCTTCCTTCCCTAGCTCTCCTCCTTCCTTCCTTTCCTCCCTCCCCTCCTTCCTTCCCTCTTTCCTTTCCTTCCTCCCCTCCCTTCGGGGTGTTACCGGCGGGCTCCTCCAGAGGGCGCTGCTCGGGCGCCTCTTCCAGGAGCCTCCGAAGCCCGTCTCCGCTCAGCGCCTCCAGCACCGTCTCCGGGGGAAGCGCCACCATCTTCTCCCACAGGCCTCGCGTGTAAAAGTCCACCGTGTGGGCCAGGCACAGCGGCAGGGCCCGGCGCAGGAACCGAGCCACGGCCCGAATCCGAGCGGACACCCTCTCGGCTGTCGGCTCCGGAGGCAGCAAGTGGCCCTCCTCGGAAGACGCCTCGGCCGCCGACATGGCCAAGGCTGGAAGAGAAACCAAGGCTCGGCGATCGACTGAGGTGTCCTGTTGCCGAGGTTTCCCGCTGCGCATGCGCTGTATCCACGCCAGGTAAAATGAATCGAGCGTCGAAGTAAAATCTATTCGAAAGAGGATGTGAAGGGCGCTCGCTTGGTGACGCAAAAGGGACGCGACGAAGCGGAGAGAAAAGAGGCAGACTTCCAGGCTCATGGCGCCGGTGACGAAAAGGAGTGTTTCTTCGGGTTTGAAAGGAAATGGAGGGTCGGAAAAGTCCAAAAAGCGGCCGTGGAGGAGGGACCCTCGTCAGGTGAAGGGCAGCGTCCAGGAAGGTAAGAGCGGCGGCAGAAAAGAGGGAGGGAGGGGGCCTCCGCGTGTGCCTACACTACAGAATCAGCACAGTATGACGCCGCTTTCACTGCCCAGCTCAGTGCTATGGAATGCCGGGATTTGTAGTTTGATGAGGCACCCGCACTCTTCGCCAGAGACGGCTAAAAACCTAGTGAAACGACTACAACTAACAATACTAACATTGTGCTGTGCTAATAATAGAATAAATTGATAATAATATTACAATATAATACAAGGCAATACTAACAATGCAATATAATAATATCTAATAATATTACTTACATTTTGTGTTAGGAGCGACTTGAGAAACTGCAAGTCGCTTTTAGTGTGAGAGAATTGGCTGTCTGCACCCAGATGTTTTGATGTTTTTTTGCCATCCTTGTGGGAGGCTTCTCTCATATCCCTGCACGGGGAGCTGGAGCTGACAGAGGGAGCTCATCCATGCTTTCTCCAGATTCGAACCTCCGACCTGTCGGTCTTCAGTCCTGCTGGCACAAGGGTTTAACTCATTGCGCCACCGAATAATAATATTGTGTTATAATTAGACTAATATAGTAAACATAATACTACTGATTATATATAATAATATATAATGATACACTATGATATTATTGTATATTTTAAGTTGTAATGTTTTTGATTGTGAGCTGCTTTGAGTCTTTGTATGGAGAAATAAAGCAAGATTTAAATAAATAAATAAAAGCTCCCGTGATACTATAGCACTACGCCATGGCAGTTAAAGTAGTGTCAAGCTACATTACTTCTACAGCATACATGCACCCCTCACCGTGCAGATTGTTTTCTTTATTTCTTTTTGTTGTTCTGTGTTCCTTACATATATATTTTTTGGCTGTAGGTTAAATCCAATTGTTAATCCTCACGGAGATGAGACCCATAGAAGTTGCCAAGCTATGAAAGTATTTTGGACTTGCAGTTAGATTTAGACAAATACGCACAGGTCTTTGGCATCACACCAAATGTTTGGACATACTTTAGGATTTCTTTTTCTTGTGGGAATTAATCCCTCTGGGTTCATAGTAGGTATTTTATTCTCTCTCTTGCTCTCTCTCATACTGTACAAGTTGAACATCCCTTATCTGGAAATCCCAAATCCTTCATAATAATAATAATAATAATAATAATAATAATTAGTATTTCATTTGTAGCCCACCCTATCTCCCCGGGGGACTCATGGCGGCTTCCAGCATAATAAAGGAAAACATTCAAAGCCTGTATAAAACAGAAGTAAAAAGTATAAACAACAACAATAAAATACATTTCACAAGTTAAAACAAGTAATTTAAATAATAACAGTTAAATAATAAACAATAAACATTTAAACCATTAAAAGCCAGCTAAGATAGCATATCAAATCCATTTCCTTTCAATTCCATTTATAAATGTTGCAAATAGTTCATATGGACATTTGAGATGAGGCCATCCACAAACAAAATTATTTAAAATATTTACATACATTTTCCTCTCAGACTATATGAAATATAATCTCCAAGAAATCTCATTATGCACAAAATCTGGAAGTTTTAGTAAGGGCTGCTCAATGTGTATTCATAAATATAACCTAAAATCCACATGCAATCAAAAACAGGGGAAGGTAGACTTCAGGTTTGTTGGGCTTTATTTAGTTTTTTTATAGAACTAGTGAAAGCCAGGAGCACAATACTTAGACATACAAGAAGGGAGTGATAATAACCACATTTTGAGCCTTGTTTCAGAATTAGAATTGTAATGGCAGACCTATTCTGCCAAAGTTCATTCTGGGTTATCACTAGTATGCTTAAATTTAGCAGCCAAATTTAAATAGAAAAAAATTTGGTAGTTCTTTTATTAAACAGCTGACAGTTATCACCTTCCATTAGTGAGCTACTATTAGCTGAAGACCTATCTTCCTCACCATTCTGATCTAGGACAGCCTGATCCATCTAAATATTTTCCTGATAATGTGTCCACAAGAGTTCTGGGAAACACAAAATTTTAGATATGATATGATATTGTGATGCTTTATTTTTTTTTCTGATAATTGTACAGTTTTGTGGAATGTTTGTTATGAGCCAACACAGTTGTCTTTCCTTTTCATATCCAAACAAAGTCTATAAGTTCTCCTTACAATTTGCACAAGGAATGCTGCTGATAAGAGATTCTCTTCCAAAAGTGAATCAGTGAGGTGTTTTTATTCATTATATGTCTGATAGTATATTTTTTCACATGAGTGACAGAGAGTGAAATCTTGATTTAGATCAAAGGTTAGAATCACTTATACGTCCTGACTTGCTAGTTAAGCTTCAGTATATGGCTGTAGAAGGAAAATGCCTAGCTTAAATGTTCATGCCTTGTTGATGATAAGGAAGGTTTGTTTAGCTGAAGCTTGCCATGGCAATGATTTTCCATCCACTGAGCCATGGTTGAAGTGGTTCTCTTGATTAATGATCATATAGCCCATGAAATACCCTTTAGCCATTGGTAGTCTGAACTGCTTTCTTCCTCAAGGCAATCTTCTCTCCTGACAGAATAATAAGTGCAAAGTATCTTGTATATTACAGTGCCAGGAACACTATATAGAAGTTTCATTTGGGAAAGAAAGATTAGTTCAGAACCATTTCTCCTTGGAAGCAAGCAGAATATGTAGGACTATTACAAAAAACTAAGTTTGTTTTGCCCATTATATCCCAGCTTACTTGATGTAACAAAGTATTTGTTTCAGTCATAATATTGACAGATGCCCTTGTCACTGACTGCTCAAGAGTGATAAACTAATGTTACTCATAAGACTGAATTAGCCTGAAATGCTCTTACACTACAAAAATGGGCTGGGAAAAGCTGTTATGTAATATTAAAATTTCTAGGAAGTCTTATATGCTGTAATCATTTTGTTTGGAGTAAATCAGATTTACCCCCCATAGACGTAAGGTTTTTCAATAAATGTTCTTCTCTAATTCACTTGCTGCAGTACTAATGGTAGCTATCTTTATTGGCTTGACTGCTACAAAGTAGTATTATTTCAAACAGAGACTTGGGGAGGCAGCAATATTCACAAAAAAGTTGTGTTTGTTTAATAACGACATGTTTTTTCACATTGCACATTCTGATGTCTTTAGGTAAAGGCTTTGCTTATTGGAGAAAACAAAAGATCCGACATGATTATAAGAAATTACTAAAAAAGGAAAGCAATGCAAATTCCAAGAAGGTTGAGTACACAGAAGATTACCCAGAACACTTGAAACATCTTTATTTAGCAGAAGAAGAAATGCTTAAGAAACAACAGAAACCTAGGAATACTAGTCAAGATATACTGGAAGGAAAAGAGTCTATAACACCAAAGTAAGAAATGTTTAATAGCTGCTATTTTACTGTGATTTCCTATGCAAACCAAATTTGTTTTTGTGACTGGTGAAACTGTCAAGTTTCAAAGTGATCCATGTGTCTGATTCAGATATTAAAATTAAACTGATGAGAGGGAAAAATTTAAAAGTGTGTTTAGGATTACATTTTATGTTTATCTCAGCTAAGCAAAACCAGTTGATTGTTTAGAGGGTATTTTTCATCTTTTGCTATTTAAAATACACTTTCAAAATTCAGTCGTCAGTTAGAATGTGTATTATTTAATATTTTCCCTTAGGTTTGTTTTTTCCATTGCTACTTGTTTGCATGTTCAAACATCAGTTGTTTAGAACAATAAAGACAAAACACTAACCTGGCAAATTACTTTGTTCTTTTGATATGAAATCCAAAATATGGGGTTCTAGCAATGAAAACCCATGGCTTCTGATGCTGCTCCCCTAAAATAGTATAGTAGTAAGAAGAGGCACTCATCATTTGTAAAATTCCTACTGCCACTACTGTTGTCTAACTGGTTAAAGAAGGACTATGTCTTCATTATGTTTTGTCATTTCATAAATGCTGTCAATTACTAAACAGTACCTATATACTCAATTTAATCACCCATGTGCTTGTCTAATCCAGATCCAATAGAGTTGGGAGGCAATTAAAAACAAAAACAGCAAACCAGAAAGCCAAAGAAGATTATGAGAGGATAAAGGCAGAGCAAGATCGAAAAAAAGAGGTATGGAAACTTATGCTGAATCTTCTTGACACAGTCTTAACTTTAACTGAAATAGGTAATATTGTGGAATTCTGAGTGGGCAGAGAAGAGGCTATCATTGTTTGCCCTCTCCCATGCAGGTTGATCCTGTCAGCCAACTCTTTCATATAATGATGTGGAATGGAGATACTATGTTCTATTACCTCTATTTACTGGTCTTGGTATAACTCTAGAATTACAGGGTATATATCTCAGAATATATTTCTGAAGATCAACAATATGACACTATCTGCACAGCATTGGGAGGAAGCAAAATATCCAGCAATACATTATCTATTGTCACATAGGATGACAGAATAGAAAAAAGTTATCTACCATTCCAAAAGAAAGATATATTGTGCCAAGTGATGATGTGATCTTCTGATAATACCTCTGCTTGGAAGTGGTGGGTGACACCAGGTAGATTTGGCATAAAAATGACAACTGTATGTGGAAGTGGATTGCCTTCAAAAACCAAGCAAAACTATCTAAGGGGGGGAATGTCTCTTCCACACAGCCATGCAACCCAGAATATCAAGGCAAAAAACCCCACAATATCTAATCAGAACTGGGTTATCTGCGTCCACGCTGCCGTATATTCCAGTTTAAAGAAGATAATGAGAGATTTTATTCAGCTGTGTGGAAAAGGTCAAAAAGACCTGGAAGGCACATCCAAGTCAGCAGTTGCTGATGGCTTGTATCTTCTTCCAGTCTTCATCTGACTGTCCTGTATGTGCATGTGTAGAGGAAAAAACATGATCTTGCACCATCCATTTGTTAACAGGGCTTATTGGCCCTCATGAAACATTTTTAAGGGCAGACAAATCTTTTTAGTTATGCAACAAGTGATCTGATTTAACAATTTTCAGGGAGAGAAAAGAGACAGCAATAGTCACCTGTAATACTCTCAAAATTGTTGCTTCAGTCTTACAATTTCTCGTTATCACGATCAGCCATTCTATGTAAAGTGAACCAAAAACAAAATATGGAGCTTTTGTGCAACATTTACATGGTCTTATACAAACTCTCAGAAGCATTCAGCTTACTTTAGAAAACCATGACTTTCAAAGTTTTTTTTGTTTTGTCTTCATTTCATATTTATGACTGCATGTCCAGTAGTCTCATATCTTGATCTATCCATATTTCTTCCTTGATTCTATGTTCTAGAACTAGTTCATAGAAATATGTGTTGGATTACCACCTAACCGTATAGAAAAGAAATAACCCAAAAGTTTGAGAAGACATTTAAAATGGTAGCACCAATTTATTCTATAATATATGACATTAGGACACATACTATTATTAGATTTTTAACCATCAACCCTTAAAATGATTGGGAGAAAGAATTTCCCTTTCCCTGTGGCAGGATTAAGCTGGAAGAGCTGGGTAGAGTTAGGTCATTTTTTATGTTTGTTCTAGCATGCAGATTTCTAAAATAAATAATTTACAGAATAAGTCATTTTGAAAAGATGAGTCACTACTCTAAATAGTAGCATAGTGGTAAGAGACATCTGCTACCCATTTACAGAAAATTTTTACTGCAATCTACAACAGATTCAAGTATTACAATTATTCAGTACATATTTATTACTTCTTTTAGTTCAAAAAATGTATTCCCTGCTTGGTGGATTTCTCCTCTACGTACTAGTGGCTCATTTAATACTTTCAATGTTTGTTTCAGGCAGCCAGACAAAGGAAGGAAGAAAGAGAGAAAGCAAGGAAACTCTATAAACAGAAGAAAATGGAGGCTTATAAAATATTAAGTAAAAGAACCAAAAAAGGACAGCCAAATCTAAACATACAAATGGAGTATCTCCTTCAGAAAATACAGCAGAACCCATGATCTTTTGATTATCATTTTTTACAGGTGCAAAGCTGCTTTGATATTTTCTTCTTCCTGTAAGTGCCTCCTCCTTTACTTTTGGGATATAACTTTTGTTAATTTTGTTAATTTATGACTCAAAGGTTGCAGAATAAAACATGTTGGCAAACTCTTATTTCGTATTTTAATTTGTTCATTTGACATTTGATGTGTTAAATTTAAACATCCTTCTTTAGATCTTATTTTTGGGAGTCAGCTAAAATATCCAGGTTCTTTTCTCTCAGTGTAGTCAAATCCACAATTTCTTATGCAGTAAGTCTTATTCTCTCAGAGTAAGGGATTTTTCTTTAAGTTTCTCAGAGTAAAGGATTTTAGGGGGTAGACAGCAAAATGTAAGTGATATGGGTTTTTTGCAGCACTGAGGATTATAATGAATACACATGATTAATTGGAGTGTTGCATCTAAAATTAATATTCACTTAAATGATATCAACTTCTTGTTGTGTGCCTTCCAGCTTACAGAAAACTTACAATAAGGTTTTATTGGCACAATTTGTTTAGCTTTTTTCAGAGTGTGACTTACATAAGTCACCCCATGATTTTGATAGCTGAGCAGGGAGGGCCCTAAGCAGTGGTTTCCAACCTTTCTTTGAGCAGGGACCTTACTTACTTACTTTGGCGATCCCTCGTAGTCCGAGGATGATGGTCCTCCAAGTTCGGTGTCCTGGGGGTGAGTTCATAGGTGGCTGTGGAGCCCTATTCTTGACCTGCATCTTCTCCCACAGTGAGGGCATTGGTTTCCAGATGGAAGGCGGTCTCGGTCGGGGTTGGCTTGACGCACCTTCCTCTTGGCACGTTTCTCTCTTTACCCTCCATTCGTGCCTCTTCAAATTCTGCAGCACTGCTGGTCACAGCTGACCTCCAGCTGGAGCGATCAAGGGCCAGGGCTTCCCAGTTCTCAGTGTCTATGCCAGAGTTTTTAAGGTTGGCTTTGAGCCCATTTTAAAATCTCTTTTCCTGTCCACCAACATTCCATTTTCTGTTCTTGAGTTCGGAGTAGAGCAAGTGCTTTGGGAGATGGTGGTCGGGCATCCGGACAACGTGGCCAGTCCAGCGGAGTTGATGGCGGAGGACCATCTCTTCAATGCTGGTGGTCTTTGCTTCTTCCAGCATGCTGATATTTGCTTCTTCCAGCACGCTGAGCAGGGACCACTTTGACCAGGAACCACTCTCCAACATTAGTACCAAAAGGGTTACAAACCAATTTTTGGTCAACTTTATATTCGGTTTGGTAATTTGGGGTGCTGATTCAGAAAATTGCATTGGATAGACCACATCAGCTGATACAGAACATATGCCATTCAGTAGTTGCCTCCCCCAATACATTGGATGCCTTTGGAGTAAATCCTATTGTGGATTCCTGCATACCCAACATGAAAACCCCCAGTTAACACTAGAAAGAAATAACCTTTGTCAGAAATATCATGGGTTGCTGTGAGTTTTCTGGGCTGTATGACTATGTTCCAGAAGCATTCTCTCCTGAGAATGCTTCTGAAACATGGCCATACAACCTAGAAAACTCACAGCAACCCAGTGATTCTGGCCATGAAAGCCTTTGGCAACTCATAGAAATATTATGCTTTCTGTGATGGTTCCCCCATCTGCATTGCCATGTAATGCAGTTTACTTGAATTGAACTGCATGTAACGGCAGCCTAGACTCGTATAATTCAGTTCAATGCAGTTAAACAACATTCTGAAACTGCATTATATGGCAGTGTAGATGGTGCCTAAGTTGGTTTAAAAGTCATATAATTTTAATGACCACACAGCTAGAGTTTTGATGAACATAAATAAATCACATTACTTATTTTAAAAAATCAGCAACATTTATAACTTTATATTAATTGGCTATCTTCTTTATATTCATTAGCCATTTCTTAACACCTGTGTGTTTAAGAAGTGGAATATAAATTTGATGGTATATGATACTTCAAAGTGTAGTTGGATCATGGTGTCAAGAAAGTGAACTTGTGTGGCTAATCCAAGGGCCAGGTTGATGTTATGGTGAAAGTTGTTGAAATCCTGGTAAAACTTCTCAAGCAATTCCTTTCTATGGGGCAACATGATGAAGTTGACACTTATCTATATCGGGTAGAGGAGACATTTCTGGGTGCATGCCCTGGGGAAGTGTTATACCAGGTAAGTCATGCCCCCAACAGGGTCATAGAATCATAGAGTTGGAAGAGACCCCAAGGGCCATCCAGTCCAACCCTCTGCCATGCATTGCTTTAAAGCAGGGTTAAATGACTGCCAGGTGCAGTCATTAGTACATAATAAATACAATTAACACACAATTCCCCCCCCCCCCAAAAAAATCCATCAACAACCTCCCCATTATCCTTTTCTAAATGCCTGCTGGCAGAGGAAAGTCTTGACCTGCTTTTTTGAGGCCAGCAGGGATGGGGCCATCTTGGTCTCTTGTGGGAGTGAGTTCTACAATCTGGGAGCAGTCACTGAAAAGGCCCTCTCAGTGTTCCCTCCAAATACGTAGTGAAATATTGTAGTTGGGAATAAGTATGAAGTGGCAGAATCTGATAGTTATATGTACTGTAGCTGTATTTGGAATTGGATTTTGGATAGATGATAGATAATCTGTCCTTGTGTGGGATGTTGATGAAAGGCATTCCACATCCATAATGGATAGGTTGATGTTCTCTGAGAAGTTGCAGATTAACTGTATTTTCTTCAGGAAAATTATATCCTTCACATAGCTTAGAGTACTGGTAGCATATGAGTTGAGTTGTGAGTATATATATCCAGATGCTGTAAAAGTGGTGGTCCCAAGTTGTCTGTTTTTTGGCAGCAGACATAATGTGTCTAGTCATGGCACATGAGATATGTCAATTTCAGTTTGATGCTTCAGTTGAGATTTCTCAACTGAAGATTGTGTGCATCTTGATATTTATCAGTGGGATCTCTAAGTAGGATTCTGTAAAGCACAGTGTTTTCCATGGTCCCATCTCAGTCTGTAGTATGTAGTCTGACTTATTCATGATGACAACAACTCTTAAGCTCTTTGGATGCATGAACTTTTCTTCTTTATATAAAGAAACCAGTGATGTAGCACCTTTAAATAAAATTATGTTAACTTCATGGATTGTGGTTCCTTACTAATAAAATTTCAAGCAAAGCCCTGAAAGGTTATCACTTATGAGCAACAACTCCCAGAATCCCCTACCCAGTATAGGATTCTTAGATCTGCTCTGTGTAAAATATTATCTAATCTCTGCACTCAGGTATTTTACTTGTATACTGCAAGCACAGCCAATAAATAACTTATTTTCAGAAGTATCATTCACACCATAATTCCTTGTAATATACCTCCTGATGTAATTATCCTGTTGCAGAAAAGTAGAGAGGACACCTATTTTACATCTTTATTCATATTTTAAATGATTCATATAATGTAAGTGGTTTCAACGGTTTCTGGTTTTTATCCTTTGTTGAGGAAACCCCACTGGGTGGTGGCATGGAGCTGAATTTGAACAGAAAAAAAATAATGTATGTTTAAAAGTTCAACAGAACTGATAATAGCCAGGCCTTAATAGATCCAATGCTATTTTAAGACACAATGAGATTTAAGGACTTGCAATTTAACAAAATTGCCTGGAGAAGTATCAGATACTAGCTGAAAACTAAAATTATCTTAGTACAAAAGGGCTTTCCTTCCCTCCCATCCCCTCACAGCCTTCCACCCTCCTCCAAAGCATAATATAGAGGGTTTCCCAGCTCTCCAGCAGGATTTTTAAGGCTGAGCAAATAGCTGCAGATGGAAGGGAAAATTGTTTCTTCCCTTGTATGGAACAACTCTGTGAGATCCTAGTTAATAATTTCAGTTTTAGGTTCTTTGCATTCTTAAAGAAAATGGCTCGATCATAAGGCCTGCAGTGCAAGAGGAAATTGTTGTGGGCATCATGACACTTCAGTGGGTATTTCATTCCTGGCAATGTGATTAATTCCTTTGGAAATCATGTTATTCAACTCAAGGCATTCCATCGTTTTGCCATGAAAGATGCTTTCATGGGTGCAACCAAGGTCTCTTATCAGCGGATAGTAGCAAGTGACAGAGATATTTTTTTAGCAAACAGTGAAGAGTTCCTTTGGCAGAGAAAAAGTGGGGTATAAATACTTAAAAGATGAGTAGCAAGGTAAAGGAGGAGGAAAATAGCTGGACAGAAAAAAAAAATACTTGCACCATTGTGACTGAAATGGTAACTTGATCAAATAATGCCCGGAACCTACCAACAGTACAGCATTAAAAGGCATTTTTAAAACACAATAAAAATACTGTACTGTTTAACATACTGAAAACAATCCAATCATATCTTACTTATTGGAAAAAGAATTCATTACAAGAAGTCAGTTGTTTCTAAACTCTGATGTTGCTCAACGTAATTTCTATAATTCTGTCTTACTTACATTTAATGTCTGGTCAAGCAGCATCTATCATTTTGGTATTGTAAGAGCCATGGAAAGGACAACTTCAACAATAGAATGAACACTGTAAGGATGCCTCATAGACTCAGTTGTTAAACTGAAGATAAACAAATTGTCTAACAGAACAAAAGAGCAATTGAGCCAATTCTTTTTTTAAGCTCTGATATACAGCATTTCATCATCAACTAACTTCAAGCACCGTACAGTTGCACTGGGGATGTCATAGTTACAGTGGGTGGAGCCAGACAGATAAGATGAGTGCCCAGGCTTGTGGCATTCACTTTGATTAAATTTTAAATTGTATACAAATGCTTTTATGTTAAGCTGCTTTGAGTCCTAGTTCCAACAGACCTCACTACCTCTGAGGATGCTTGCCATAGATGCAGGAGAAACGTCAGGAGAGAATGCCTCTAGAACATGGCCATATAGCCCGAAAAAACCTAGAACAACCCAGTGATTCTGGCCATGAAAGCCTTCGACAATACAGAGTTATTCCTGTTCTTTCTCATTCTTGAGACTCTTTTCATAATATGAGGGACAGATAACCATAGTAGTAAAAGATAGGAACATCTGTAAGTTGTGCATAGAGGTGATGCATATTAGTGTGATGCAAAGAACCCAACAATGCCCAGACTGGATGATAAGTCTTGAGATGGGAAAATGATAATCTTCCA